TATATTAATAATTATATTAATTTTAAACTTTTTAAAATTATTTACATTAGTATTTTTCATTTTTTAAAATATACTAAAAATGCATTGTATTTATTAACATAAAATATTTTATTTACCTGTGATTTTTAAATAGTAAATATCAGGTAGCTCTAAAAGATATACATAGTCAATCTAACTATGCATTAATCTTATTATTTTTTAATGTTAAATTGCTAATAACATAAACAGAAGAAATCATTAACAGCCATGTTCACAACCAGGGATTAAGAATAAGAGTTAGAAGTTAATCAATTACCATTCACTTTACTTTTAGTACATAGAGTTAAATTAAACAAGCATTTAACTCATGGTCTTTGGTTGTGAATGTGGATACAAATGATTGATCCTTATTTAGATAAATATAATTAATTTAAAATCTTGTTTCAGTTATATACTCGATGTATGTTATACCCTCCATATGAAGAAAAAGGAAGAGTTTTTACTATTAGTGACCTTATTCCTCAGATGTTAGTGTATGGATTCATTGTTTTTATTCCATTAATGGTAAAAAGAATTGTAGATGAGAAAGCTAATAGAGCAAAGGTACTTCTTATATTATTTTTCATTCTTAATTATAATTATTGACTGAATTTTGAAAATTTCAATTAAAAATGTTATTTATTTGACTATAAAAACCCTGTAAAAAAGGAATTTTTTCAAAATTATTGAAGAAGTAATTTTTCTTATTAACTATCTTATTAATTGCATGTTTTGAAATAATCTGGAGAAATTTTTGTATTTAAAAAATAATTACTTATCTTAGATGATCTTACTTGCTCATCATTCTTACATTTTAAATTGTAAGTAAGATATCAAATTATTGACATAAAAAATGAAATACTATTTGTCAGTTAATTTTACATTAAAATAATAATAATATTAAATTGTTTTAAACTAAAATTTTTACTTAAACTAATTTGATTTTGTATGGATAACATATGGCAGCATAAAACCCACACAAGCATATGCCCTGCAGAAAATTACCAAATAAGACTTCACTTCTAGAGAGGCCATTGAAAGTAAGACACTTACTGATATGCAGTTTAGAAGGTACTGTCTCAAGCATTAAAATGTTTTTTCTGTTTCCACTTCTGTTTACAATTATTGTATATACATGTTAATAACCTAGTCTAAATATTCAAAATAATCAATTCATCAAATGTCAGGTTATTTGGACTATATTTTGACTGACTAATAATTAATATAAAATAATTTTGTTCTGAAAGTATGCAGTTAGGCTACTAACTTGTACTAGTGTAAATAATTACAATAATTTTTTTCAAGTAAATTTAATTATTATTATTAGTACTGTAAGACGGCAGTCTAATTGCATACCTTCAAAACAAATTACTATTAATTATTAATACTTGGCCAAAATATAAAATGAGTTAATTATCTTCTCTAACTGGAACAATTTTTCAAGCTTTAAATCCTGTTTTTCTGGAAATTTAAAGTGTAGTTTAACTACTCCACTAATATTTTTTTCAATCAGCTTAATCATCTTCAGATGAAAAGAGAATAGAACAAACTATTGTTAATTTGTTGGAATATCTCATCACTCATCATTTAAGCCATGAATGTCATAGCATATGTTTTTCTTTTTTTTCCTTATCACTCACCAGAAACCAATTCTTGACTGTGAGATATCTTATGTGTATAATTCTCGATTATACTTGCCATGATATTGCAATATACACTATTGCTGCTATGTGAATTTTTCCATTTTGTGTTGTTCTACTACAGTAGTAACATATTTTTTTTTTTTCAAATATAATTTGTTTGTGATTCCATTTACAAATAAAGTGCTTATGATAAATGATTATCAGACAAAAAATTTTCTTTCTGCATATGAAGTTTAATGTTCCTTTTTCAGTATTTTTTCGTTTTACTCATTTTATAATTACATTTACAATGAAGTGGAATAGAAACAATATTTTACTTTGAGATATCTTGTAAAAATGCATAACAGTAAATGGTTATTTTTATAAGGTGGATAGGTTATATAAAGTTTTTTCCATTCTAGCAATTTTCTGTAGATTGTCATTGCATGTTACCTGCCTAAATATTTGGTTAAATGAAAACTCTAATTTTAAGTTTTTTTTTATTAAATTATCTTGTTAGAATTGAACTAAATTACTTAGTAATTAAAAAAGTAGGATTTTACAGACATGTTATCTGTTCATGATGATACTTAATAAATTTGAAATAATAATAATATAGATAAGGAAAAATTTAAATGAAAGACTTTTGAACTAAAACTATCAATGCATTTTCCTGACTTATAAATGTTGAAAATTATTATACTTGAACATTGAAAATTCCTCCTAAACTGTTAATTTTAACTAGTATATCATAATGATTGCCTTTCTTCAAATTAAATTTTATTTCTAAACAATAAAATTCTTATCTGTAGCCTAAATTGTCAAATATTAAATAATTAAATTCGGTTTATCATCTGAAAATTTTTGATAAAATGATAGTTTTAACAAAAATTTTCCAACTTACAATGATGATAATTAACTTACCCATTTTATTTTTTTAGGAGATGATGAAACTGATGGGAATGAGTAATTTCACATATTGGGGGAGTGTGTTCCTAGTCAACTTTATATTTATGGCAGTTATATCATTACTAGTTACCATGCTTTATTCAATCGAATTTGTGTCGGGAAGATCAGTAATTGCAAATACTTCTGTTAGTTTATTCTTTATATTCCTTCTTTTTTATAGTGCTGCAGCAATTATATTTTGTCTTGTGATAACCACTGTTTGTAACAAAGGTATGTTTATATATTTATTTAGTTTAATGATACAGATTTTCACATTTTTCACAGTACAAATGTCTAATATTATGTAAGTGATGATTAATCTCAATGTACCATCAATTTAGTTGTTTCAAACTTTTTAAAATTATCTTTATTGTTGAAATGCTTTCAAAAGTATTTAGTTATTGATTGATCAAATTACTTCATTTACAAAACAAAAGTTAATTTATATACAGTGTGGTTTAAAAGTCAGGATATGAAAAGAAATTCTTGCTATGCAAAGTAATGAACTAAGAGTTTGACTCAAATACAGGTAGACAAATTGAACATTTTTCCTGCTGTGTATACTACTATGACTTCTCATACAATCTTTGCTGCACTTTAAGACACTTTCCCATATTCTGACTTTTTTGGACCATACAATCATCTGTAAAATACAAATGATACAAAATTTTAATTTTATTTTAAAAGTTTAGGCCAAATTTCTAAATATTTGAAAATTTTACAAAGAAATTTTTCATTTATATCTATAATTTTTTACTTTTTTATTATTTTAGCTTCAATATCTGTAATACTATCTATCATTATCTGGGCAATCAGCTTTAGTGTTCCAAGTTTTCTTATAACTCCAATTGGAAAATATGATTATTTTTACACTCTCTCTCTTTCTGAAAAGTTATTATCTTGTCTTCTACCAAATATGGCACTTCAGTGGGGAATTAAAATAATATCACTATATAATGCTTACAGTAAGTTGTTTTTTTATTTATAAATAATCTGCATATATATATATATACATTTGTATATACTTTAAATTTTTATTTTAGATTCTGGTTTGCATTGGGACAAGCTATTTAGTTCACCATTAAAAGGGGGAGATGGATTTTGTTTTGCACATGTAATTTGTATGATGATTGTATGTTGCCTTTTCTATAGTATTTTACTTTGGTACTTGGATTCCGTTTGGCCATGGCAACCAGGAGTACCCAAACCTTTTTACTTTTGTTTTTGTGTAAGTTAAAAAACTTTTTTCATTATTCAAAATAAAATGTATACATTCTATATATCATATAAAATGCATATGTTATATATAGTGACATTTTTTATAACATCAATAGTTTTGTTTAGCAATGGTTTAAATGTAATTTATTATTACTTGTATCTATAATTGTTGCATAAGATTATGAAATTGTCTTAAAATATTTTAATAAGTTTGCATACGTATATAAAATAGTCCTCAATTAATTAACTATCATATATAAATCTGTAACTGGTGTATAATTTATACAGTACAATCTTGGTAATTTGACATGTGGGACCAGAACAGTGTTGGATTAATGAGATTGCTGAATCACTGTTCACACATTTTGATTTAACAACTTAAACACAAAAAATGTGATTTAAATATGAATACCATTGATGTACTGAAAATAATTGAACATACAATGAATTTGACAGTGTGGGATCAACTATTAATATAGCAAAAAGCAAATCAGAGTACTGATCAAAACATGCATGCGCTGCCCATGCTGGTAATCAGTTGATAAATTTTCAAAATTGAGATAACCATGGTAAAATACAATGGATGGTACCATACTTTTGGTAGGAAACTTCAGCAGATTTATTTTTATAACATAATACTGTATAAATACAATTTAATGTGTCTTTTTTATTGGTCAATCTAAGATGTCATTATCTTAGCCTAACAATCTTTAATATCATGCCCAAATTTGAGTGTTCAAGCTTGGGCTCAATATCATGCTATGTTTGGTGGGAAGGTGTTGGAATTTAGTGGTAACTGAAAATAGAACCATTGGAAAGAGTATCTATGGTTTGGCAGCATTTCAGTAGTACCTGAGAATGGACTAATGTTGGATTACTGGACATATTGAACTAGTAAATGATTGGATTATTGAAATTGTACTGTATATATAATTAGACTGTTTTGTGGATATGCTATTTCTAGAATGTGTGTCTAGAAAATTTTTCTAGTAAGTTTGAACTCAAAACTTTGACACTTTAATATGCTTATGTAATTTGTAAATGCAAAAATACTAGAGGGTCAGGTTGTAAGGGATCCCTTTTGCCTATGTCAAAACAATAATAATAAATACATAAAATACGTATACATACATTAGAATTCTGTTAGTTTTCAAGAGACTAATCTAAAAAATCTTCAACAGAAAACTTCTTAAATAGAAGTGCAAATATAGCTTTTCTTTCAGTAATCCATATTTACCATATTTCTTTGAATAAGCTGTAGATATTTGATATTTGTTGTATTTGAAATATATATATTAAAAATATTTAACCTGTCAAAATGAATAATGCCAGATGTCTGTTCATTTTAATGGGTCAAAAATTCCTTGCGCTTATTTGAGCTGGTGACTATTTAAGACCCAACTCCTTAATTTTTACAGTTATTTTGACTACCACAATTCATTTTGTTTTAGTATTGTAACAGTTAGTCAAAGTAATACAGCTTTTAGTCAAAAGTTGGAGAAAAATACTTCATGCTCCTGTCATTAAGTTATAAAAGCTGCTACTAGTATTTTTATTTTTCATTACTACTGTAAATTAACAAAACTGATTTTTCTTCAATTTACTGTTTGATTTCTCTCAATAGTTCAACTAATCACAACAGGAAATACTATTACTTAATTCAAGGAAATATGGTATTTAACAATGCTTCACTACATTACAATAAATTAGGCGTATACAATAGTTATTTATTTTAATATTTATCTAATGTAATCTGTTAAATCCAGTTTAATCTTGTTTTATTTCCATAACCTATGTATTGATAGCATTTTCTGAACTTGAAGTTTATTTCAAGCCCTGTCAGATAACTAAGAAAATTTTAAATTCTGTGTTTAAGATAGACCAAAGTCATGTGCACAATGACACAAAATTTTGTATATTTCCTAATTTAATGTATTTTCATGTATAATTAAATGCATAAAATTTTTATGACGCAGTTGAAAAATTTAAGCAAGTCCATTTTTCAGTCATGGATGAAAATTTTGGTTTACTTATGTAGAAAATTTTCTTAAATGCATAAATTTTTCCCATATAAAAAGTGTTCCCGTCTTTTTATGGGGAAAAATTTGGGACATTTTTGAAATTAAACTTCTTACTTGATGTGGGAACCTCTTAACCATGTTTTCATGAGTTATACTGTATAAACTGACTTTTAATTAAATGTTGTATTGTGCAACTATTGTTTACTTTTTCAAGTTTCATTCTGTTTTGTGCACTCTAGATACCCATATGCAGTGCATCAATTGCATCCACATTTGCACAGCTTTGTTTGTCAATTTAAAAATTTTGTTTTAAATTATATCTGAATTGCTATCTTTTAATATATTTAATGATTTTTACATTTTTAAATACTATTTATTCACTTTACAGCCATCCTATTGGTGTTCTTCGTATCAAAAATTAGAGGTGGATGATTCAGAATGTTTTAGGTCAAGTTATTTTGAAGAAGAGCCTAGAAATTTTTCTCCAACAGTTGTGATATCTCATCTATCAAAGGTTTGAAATAATAATTAAAAAAATTTTTTTTTTTCACCTAAAATTTATATGAAAATTAGATGTCATATTATTGTCATGTATTAAAATCGATTTTTTGTGATTCTTAAATATGTCAAAGAATGTGAAGCTAGATAATATATTATCTATTTAAATTAAGTATAGACAGTTTCAAGTTATAAAATTAAAGATAAATAATCATTGTTGAAATTTAGGTTTAAAATGAAATCATAAATGTTTTTTTTTTTTAATACAGTAATACCTCGACTTATGCTACCCCGACTTACGTGAACCCAGAGTTACGCGATTTTTAAATCTCGTCAATTCGTCTTTTCTTTGAGTGCCACTCAACTCTAGATTACTCACTCCCCCCCACACTATTGTTCGGCTTACATGTTTGGACGTGTCGCGCGGAATTGACACATAGCTATAATTTATTTTGTGTTATTTATTACTGTGTTTGTTATATCTACGGAGACTCGAGAGACTCTATGTGGTGATTTCTTGTAACCGTGAACGAATCAAAAGAAGAGATAAGATTAACGAGAACATTTATTATCTTACATACATCCGACTTGGATATTACACAAATTGTGAAATTATACCCCGACTTACACGAATTCGATTTATGCGGTTATCACTCGGTCCCACATATCGCGTAAGTTCGGGGTATTACTGTATTTGAAAAATGATTTTTGTGTCAAAAAAAAAAAAAGTTTAATCTTAACAGAAATCACTAATATAAATATTTGAAATTAAGGTTTTTTAAGAAAACTTAAAGTATTTAATTACAGAAATTCAAATCTGGAATGGTTGAAAAGATTGCAGTTAATGACATGTCTTTGAACTTGTACCATGGTCAAATAACAGCATTATTAGGTCATAATGGAGCAGGAAAAACTACAACTATGAGTATTCTTACAGGTATTTCAAAATTTTTTGATAAGCAAATTTTAACTGGTTCTTTAGATCACTGATAAGTTTCTAATTGAAACGCCAAAATTTTATAAATCAGAATATACATATTTTACAAATATAAACTGCTAGTCAAATTATAAGCCAAATCAAACAACCAGAACTTAGAAATTGTTTTTAAACAGTTATAATGTACCCGATGGAAGGTTAAATATCAACTTGATATACTATGCATATTTTGAATAGTCATTCACATTCAAAGTAGGTATGGTTAAAACTTTTTAATAGCTTATTTTATCTCATTCATGATAAGTGATTTTTCTTAAAATCTGAAAACCTTCAAAATATGCAGAAATCTTTGTCATTTTGATATGAAGTCTGTATCATAACATAAATGCCTTTTTTCTCTAAATAAGTTTTATTGAAGAATTGAATTTTAAACAGTGTTTTCTGCTGCAAAAAATTTTGTGGCAATATTGGTACTAAGTGGCNGCCTTTTTTTCTCTAAATAAGTTTTATTGAAGAATTGAATTTTAAACAGTGTTTTCTGCTGCAAAAAATGTTGTGGCAATATTGGTACTAAGTGGCTGTATTTTGAAGCTGAATTTATGTAAAGCCATAACATTTAAAGTGCCAAAATGCAAGTAATATGACTTTATAGCACTTGTAAATATAAGCTGTAATGTTTTTATCGTTTTGATATTCCAGAGAATTTGTAACCTAGCGAGTTTTTTCATCATTTTGTTGTAAAATTGAAATGAATTCATTCACAAGTTTTTTTTTTTTTTTGCTCTCCTGAAAAATTTATTTATTTTTTTCATTTACAACATTATGGCATTGCATGCTTATATTGTGCCTCTTTTTGCTATTTACTGAAAATTTAAAATGCTACCTGGGGTGTTTTTTCTTTAGTACAGTGAATTCAAGAAATAGTACTTTAATTCTAAAAAGTACATAATCTAAATTTTCAGGATTTTATAACTTAGAAATTAGTATATTTTTATTAATTATTTACAGTATATAGAAAATTTCCAGTTGAATGCTACACTATTTTTTTTTTTTTTTAGAAAATTCACACACTAATTCTTACAAGCCAATGCAATACAAGCCAAAAACAATTGGAAAAATAGATAGCACTGAATGCAAAGCAGCTAAAAGGATGTAATGACAACAATGTACTACTAAATAAAAAGCTAACATTTTTTTGCATCCATTTTTTGTTAATTGACAATTTATCATTCAGTTTGTAAGTTCAACATACATATTAATTGTTAAGAAATACGGAAAAATCTTTAACACAAAAAATACAGATAAATATATTTTGTACTTATAGCTTCATTACACTTTTCCATAGAAGAATAAATAAGTGTTTATGAATTTTTTTATAATACAAATTAACAAAATTAATCTTTATTATAAAACTAATAATAAAATAATGATTTAAAACTATGCAATATATCAGAAATATTTCTAACGTACTAAAAAAATTCAGGAAATATTGCTTTTTCAAATTTTAAGTCCTTCTGATACATTGAGCCATTATCTTTATGGTTTTATATTATGCCTGGTAAAATTTAAAACAGTGTCATGAGAAATCAAAGACCCTTCTCTCCACTTCAAATGTATGTATTGTGGTTTGTTGGAAAAACACCTTATGACCCAAAATATATAATGTTCAATCCTTTTTCTTTACAAGTACATGCAGGTTACACATTGAGAATTGCAGGGATGACTTGGTGAAGCATCCGAATGGTATTGTGACATTCCTCTTTTTAGCAGTTCAGATACTGCTTTTTTTTTTCTTTTTACCTCTTCCTCCTTTTTCTTAGTGGTTCCTCTTTTTAAGGGATTCTGCAGTTCTAACAACTGTCCAATCCAGAGCTGGACTATTAACTTCCATTCAGGTCAGTCTCTATTGGGACTCTTGACTTATTTGTTAATTGTGACTAACACTGATCTGTGACCTACTTCTGGAAAAACCTATCAGAGTGGAAAAAAAATCAATAAGTGAGAATCGGGATTATATTAGGGAACTTTTTGGTGTTTAAAATGTTTTAAAAAATTAATTTAGTTTAAAATATTATTTTATTTTACTTGAAAAAGAAGGAAAGTTTATTGATGTACATCATTTTTAACTTCCTCTGATTCACGGGAAAAGAGGAGAGTTCCTTCTAAAATGAAAGTTTTAGGAGCGAGAGAAAGGAATCGTGGATATTCCTCATTGATTCACTGATTTGGTATAAAAGGTGGAGGTCACCTTTTATCCAAGCTTTTCATCATGAATCTCATGTCGTTAGCCATGCACCATTGAACCATGTAAATAAGTTCCTTGTTGTTTCTGTCTTATGTTTGATACATCAATCCCATTAAGGAAGAATGAGACAAGAAGTCTTCTCAATCAAAAGAAAATGTTATCACATTAAATTCCCATGTAACAAATGAAATAATTGTAAAACTCTCTTGATGCAAATAAGTGTAAACTTTAAGATAGAATAGTTTAAGCTGTTGCATTATCCTTGTATCGGAATTTGGAGCTTATATAATGTTATTTTAATATTTCTTAATCAAGTATGTTATTTTGTAATCTTTATCATTATTTTTCTTTGTATAAATAAATAGTTGTTATATATTTGGACCAAGCCTGCTTTCATTACTAAATTGAAACTCCCATTCTACCACTCAGATAAATGTACCTTTTAAATATTGCAAGTTAGGACATGATTGATTTTAATTCATAACTGGTGTCAGGCTCCTTACGTTAAAAAGATCTTGACAATCTTTGAAACAAAATTATCCTTCCTGAACAGTGAGCAATGTCCCACACAGACCCATAGTCTCATATTTGGTATCTAGAGAGTGGGTTTCACTGCCTCAACTCCTGAATCTTGCATTCTGATTGGAGGCTGTGAGATCCCACTCACTATAATCTCACAAATGTCTTTAACTACTTTCATTAAGCCTACTTGACATGACTGATGGAAGGTTAAATAATTTCAAAATAAATGTAATAAACAGAATTATTTTTTTCCTAAATGTTTGTAAATTATTAACAATTGAATTGAATAAAAATTGAAATTTAATATTTGTTTATATTTTTTTTTAGTTTTTCTGTTTATCAATTTTAGTATTATTTTATTTTTTTTTTATTAGTTAATACTTTTAATTTCCCTATTGTAGCTGAATTTTTATCATAAGAAGTTTATTTCAAAATTAAATGTAGTAAGTTTGCTGATAAAAGCTTATGGTATATCTAAGAATTATTACTATAGATTAGATTAGTGATTTTATGACTATTTTTCAATATTCTGTTTGTTTGAAATCCATAGTAAACATTAGTAGAAATTAAATATTTTAATTTCAATTTAAGTAACATATTTCTATATATCTTTTTTTGTTATATAGGAATGTTTCCACCAAGCTCAGGTTATGTTACAATAAATAATTATGACATAGTTACTAGCACTACTGAAGCTCGAAGAAGTGTTGGCCTTTGCCCTCAACATAATGTTTTATATGATTCTCTTACTGTTGAAGAACATTTGAAATTTTTTGGTCTTGTAAGTATAAATCAGTAATATTCACTTTAGAACTAATGAAATAATTATATATCAAATAATAGTATATATATTAATTTTTGTTTTGCACATGATATGTAAGTAACTTCAATTTTTAATAGCTATGCTTTTCCAATTTATTATTTAGTTCTATTGTTATCAAAATAATCAAAATCTAATGTGTTTACTATAAATTCATTTTTAATCTTTAAGAAAATTGCAGACAAGCAGTGAGCTGAGATAGGCATTTTTTTGTTGTATGAGGGAGGTCTCTAACTTAAAATGGAAAATCAGTAAAAATACAAATAAATTTTAAAATTACGCATCTTATACATTTAGGTAAAACAAAAATGATTATATAGTATATAACAGTAGTGACCAAACTGTAGCTTGAGTGCATGCAGATCTTCTAGACCAGTGTTTTTCAACCTGTGGGTCGTGATCCCCAGAGGGGTCGCAAAGCCTTACACGGGGGGGTCACGGGTAAAAGAAGACAAGTGTTTGTAGGTCCTACACTACAATAAAAAAAACCTACAATTTCGTTGAAAAGGCTGGGCCTGTTTATTTTACAGTACAATTGGTTTTTCGATCGATATTTAGGTCTCAGCAGAAAGTAAATTAAATACGTAGTTTTTAAAATCACTGATATAGTTTTAATATGGCCCTTGGGGCTCGCCAAAATTTTTTAACTTGTAAAGGGGTTGTGTATTCAAGAAGGTTGAAAAACATTGTTCTAGACCATTGCTGTGGCTCTTACATAATTTCTTTTTATGAACTTTGAAGTATATATGTACTACTAATACAAAAATATAAATTTTCTGACTATTATATAGTGTAATATACACAAATTATAAGTGAAACTTGCAACTTAACCTCAGACAGACAATTGAAAGCTTAGTTCGTACTCATAAATTTGGAGTTAAATGATTACTAGTACTTTATAACGACTAGGTAACAAAGTAAAATAACAGTGATATTTATTTATTTACTATAGACCAGTGACAATTATATTATATATAGTTAAAATACTATTAACAGTGGATGCAGCTCTTCAATTCCAATAGAAGCTGTAGCTCTTGTGCATATCTGATGGTCAGTGTATGGCTTCTATTGTGACAAGGTTTGGCCACCCTGATATATAAAATTATAAAGTGAAATAATGGTAAATGCATAAGAGAACTAAAGATTTATAATCTTTAAGTGGGAAAAAAAAACAATATTATAGGACAAAAGTATATAAAACAAATGATAAAAATGATTGTATTTATTTTTATAGAAAAGTTCATTTTTACATAAAGAAACTTTTTAAAAAATTTGTAGAAGACTTCAATAAAAATATTTTTTAATATATCCAATAGATTTTGTAATGTGTTGAAAAAAGAAATATTAAAATAAGACAGTTGGGTAGATTCAGAATATATTACATTTGAGCATGTCTGTTAAATGGCAGTGGGCAAATTAAGCATGATATGAGGAAAGTAAACCATTGGTTAAAATATACCTAGGTACCAATGGCGGTGTTTTGGTTAGGTTAGATTAACTATATTTTTAGTAGACGTTTTCTTTTTTTTTTATTTTGTTCAAGAACTACCGTGAATCAATAACTAGTGACGTTAGGCACTCGGTGGCCTGCCGGCTGCTCCCCTCTGGGAGAAGTCTGTTGGGAGCACGAACAGTCAGAAGCACCACCATTGGGGTTACCTAGGTATACTTTGACCAAACCATTAAAACGTTGTGGGGAAAAAATATGTTGAAGTAACTGATATGATCTAAAGTAAGAAAATACACTTGGGAACAAATGGCTTCCAATGAGCCTGAAAAAGATTACTGAGAAAATAACACAGTATACTTTGGTAAATTAATTAAAATCTAACTATATAAAGCTGAAAAACTGGATTTTTTTTTTTTTTTTTTTCTTTCTGTCACTGTATGCAAAAAATGGCCACTAGTGGCACCCCTAGCTATTATTTAAATTAACAATAAATTCGGTATATTATTATTTGATGTGGTTTTTTGCATTTTTGGCTGCATTTTAGTAGGGTATGCCATGAGAAAATCAGTATATTATTATTTTTATTTGTAATAGGAATTTATTATTTATATTACAATGATGCTGCTGCTAGAACATCTACTAGGGGGTGTCTCGAGCTACTAGAATAGAAGGATTAGAAGTATGAAATAATCTAATAATCGTAATCTTTGTTGGTGTTGTTTGCCCAGGCAATGCCGGCTCATCTGCTGGTTATTTAATAAACTTTGAAATAGATGTTGATCTGACTGACAAACCATAGTCAATTAAGAACTGAAAATATGCAAAAAAAAAAATGCTCTTTAACATAGATCTACAGAAAATTGTCAGTGTCACCATAACATTCCACAACAGCTAGAACTTTTTAATTAAAAATTATCAATCTGAGAACAAAGGTAACTGCCCAATAAAATGCTGATATTCTTAATTTGAAAGACCTATTTAACAGGGAAAAGAGAAAATGAAGTGATGGAATTGGAGGATTTATTAATAATGAATAACAAATGAAAGTTGTTTGCTAAACATTACAACCCTAAACAGCAGTTTTTAAAAAATATCAATGTCCTGCTAGAATAAACTAGGATTATTATTTAAAATTTTAACATTAGCTTAAGCAAACACTGAAATATTCAGACTAATTTATAAGAAATTAGATTAATATATATATAAATANTAAGACATAACCATGTGGTATACCTGATGTAGGAGTAAAATTTAAAGTTTAAATTATTTTAATTTTTAAAGTGTATGGTAAAAAATAAAGCCAGTAAATTAGATGAGGGAAATATATCCCTATTTTTTATTTTATTTTATTGTAATTTGATTTGAAAAAGCAATAAAATAAACATATCAAATTTCACTTCACTGTAAATTATCTTGGGTTTCACAGATTAACATGTTTATAGTTGGAATGCTATTACTTTTAAGATCAAGGTAGTAAAACTTTATTACTTTAAAGGGAAATTGGCAGTAGACCTTGTATTGACTCCACACCAAAGGTAAACAAACTATAAAACATTTTATTACCCTATAAACAAAATCTTCCATCCCATTTGTAAGTAGGTCAAATGAAAATGTATGTTTGTTTTTTGTTTTATTATAAGAATGTTTTCTTTAAAATTTAACACTTTGTAAGAACTGATTATTTAATTATTATTTTTTTTATAATTGATTTTTGATAACTGCAAGATGATCTTATTTTGAGCAATATTAATTTTTGAATTATTACAGAAAGTATCAATTTTTTGCTGATTGTTAAACCTGGAATGTTGTTTTTTGTGTGATAAATGAAACAATCGAAGTAATGCACGGTCCACCAAAAATTTAGCAAACAATCACATGTCAACTACATAAATTATTAGATATGAGAATTTTATGAATTAAGTTATATAACTGTGTGCAGGGAATCCCCTTTCTTAAAGTTACTAAGATAAAGCTATGTTGACATTTTTTTGGATAAAGAAAAGGTCCAAAGGACACTCTTCCAACTTGCTAACTTTGTTTTAATTTACATCTCTTGCATATTACAGAATGTAAAAATACAATCAGCAAAAATTTAAACTTCATTCATAAAACATAAGACATTCAGATTAATGTTTTAGTCATCAAATCCTTCAAATGCACAATAAAGTATAAATTTATAAATGACGACATATATAGTCTTTGAGATTGGAAATGTTTTGTGCAGTGAATACTGATCAACTGTAAAAGATTAAGCTAGATTATGATTAATTAACATTTTTAAAGTTTGTAAAATATTATTTATTTTATTGTAGCTCAAAAATATGTCATGGTCTGATGCAAAGACTGAAGCAACTAAAATATTGAATATTCTTCATCTTAAAGATAAAAGGAATTGCCTAGCAAAAGACTTATCAGGAGGGATGAAACGTAAATTATCACTTGGAATTGCCATTATAGGAAAATCTAAAGTAAGTATTTTGATGCCATTTACTGGTATTATAGTGCATGTTTCATCAATTTGTTGTTTCTATTGTGAGATTTTGAACACCCCCCCTTAATTAATTAAAAATATAAACAAAATAAAGAATTGTTAGAAATAATATTCCTAAGTTTTATTGAAAAGTTTTAATGTTGAAAACAAAGGAAACTAGTAGAACTCATTTCCTTTCGACAAAAGTTTTACATCCTTTTGTTTTCCCTTGTCTTCATAAATTTTGAGTCACACACTGCACAGTTGCCCCTTTGTAAACCCCCACTCTTCCTAAACACGTGGGAGGAATACAATATTCCCATTGGATAAAACCATCAAAAAAGGGAATTCTTTTGGTTTTGCTCGGGGAGTACTCCAAAAGTTCCATAGGAGGAAAGACGTATTCCATATTGTCTCCCTACAGCCAATGCCCATAACCAACTCCCAAAGTTCATACAAAGTTTGTTTCTAAGTTCCCAAGTTGAAGAAAATGTCTAATGAGGTGCCACCTAAGATTTAACAGGGACAAGAATGAAAACCTGAGGAGAACTAGAGAAATAACGAAAATTCACATCAATCCGAATAGAAAGAATACAGAAGAATATATATTGTGAGGTAGTATGACTTTTGAGGTAGTATTGAATCGAAATGTGATCTCTCTCTCTCTCTCTCGATAATCATAATTATATATTGAAGGTCTAATTTGTAAATTTTGTCTTGTTTTATTAAATATTCAATATTTTTATGTTTAAGAAATGTCTTATTATGTCTGAATCAAAAGATCTCATCCTCTCCGTATTGATTCATAAACGTGTGTTAATCCACGTGTAAGAAAACTGAATATCTACGTCAGGATTTTTGACACCAGTTAAAGACTTCACTGTCTATATACTCCTCATAAAAGCCCTCCGAAATTATAGAGATTGAATCTTGCGATTTTGTGCCGATTAAGCAGTACTCCAGTTTGGTACCCCTGCCTTATCTCACACTATTGTAAATTCTATCTGAACATCAGTTGATATCATCTACTTTATATTATCATTTTTAATGTCTGATTCACTACTTTATATAAATTATATATGTACAGTCTGCCCTCATTTTGCACCTGTTTGATTTAAGCTAATTGATAGTAATGCTGGCTTTAAATTTTTCAAAACAATTAAACATTTTTCCATGTGTAGAATATTTTTGCAAATGCTAAATGCAAATATTTTTACACCTGTTGATAGCATTTAGAACGATCATATTAATTTATAAGTACAGTAACAAAATTCAGACCAGCAAATAAAGTTTTTTTATATCAGTGTTTTGTTACATGCAGACCACAGCTGTAACACCATTTGTTTTCTGAACATGTGTGCTATTTTCATAAAAAATTTATATAAGGATATTCTTTACAATGATATGTTAAGTTAAAATGGATGAATTTAGTCATTTTATTTTATCAAAAGATCATTTTTATTTAAGTTATAAATCAGAAATAGTGAGTCATTTAATAATTTAAATTTAGTTTATTGTGAAGTTTTCGATTTCAATTTTTTACAGTTTGTTTTTGCTGTTTGTTCTCAAAATAGAGAGCAAACCTGAATTGAGAACAAAGCTTCATTAATTGAAGGGGCAGGTTCTTCAATCTTTATTTCATTTGCTTTATTATCATTGATGTTCTTAAACTTTCTACTGTTTCTACATCAGACTACTGTAATCACATTGTCATCAATTAGTGATTTTTTTTTGTCTATAATGAGATGAACATCCAAGATACTGGTACCATTTATTTCTGAATCATTCTGAAAGAGGAATGTTGTTTTTTCTGGCAGAAAGTAGTCATTTAAAAGTTCCAAATGGATCCAGCAGTTATGAATTGTGACAGGAAATGTTGTTTAGTGATCTTTTTAATACTTGAATTGCCTCAAATACTGTAACTGTCAACATCTTGTGTTCTCTTAGATCTTTTTATTGCTTTTCCAAGCAAAATCTTTCAATAATGGTATTTTAGACTTTGAACACTCCCTTGGTTCCGTTAGTTGAATTATGATAGTCGTATTCAGTGGGAGGTAAGCAAGCTTAATTTTTAAACTTGGAATTTTGGTTGGATATGTGGTGCCGTTTTCTACCAGGAGGAGAATATTTTACCTACTGATGGCAGAAACTGGTATTAACTGCCATTTAATATTTCCAGAATAGATTTTATAGGATTCTTAATAAAAAGATTTAAATTCAAAATGTCCAATTACTGTGTATTCGCCAATTACTGTACCATTTACGTATCAAAAAACAATAGTAATGTTATCAATATTAAAATAATTCTGTTTGAAGTACCTTGATGATGGCTGCAGAAACAACTGAAAATTTTTTTAAAAATAAAGAATACTTCTGGTTACAACTTAATTTAGAAAGTTTTTGTACAAATTTTGTGAACCAGTTTTTAAATGTAGTATGCCTGCTTCTGTTGAATTAGAATTGTTTAATCTGCCAGATATAGCCATTAAAAATTATTTGTTTAATTAAAAAATAATTCTGTAGTAAGCAAAATATTTACAGAAGTTTCTTTTTAACTGAACTAATTGAAACTAAATAATCAAAAATGTAAATTTTATTAAGTTTGATAATTGACATTTGTTACATTTCTTCTTCAAAATTACATATTTTTTATTTAGATTGAATGAATTTAATTATATTAATGATGATAAAATTTTGTTTATTTCAAAATATTTAATATCTATAACAGTTAAATATAATTTTTGTAAATTTGATTTTTAATTTTAAGGTTCTGATATTGGATGAACCGACTTCAGGTATGGATCCAGAAGCAAGACGATTGATTTGGGATTTACTGCTAGAGATCAGACAAACTTGCACTATACTTTTGAGTACTCATTACATGGAAGAAGCAGATGCCCTTGGTGATCGTATTGCAATTATGGCGGAGGGATCTTTAAAATGTTGCGGATCGTCAATATTTTTAAAAAGAAAATTTGGTATTATAATTTAAGTAAACTTCAGTATAAAATTACTTAAGATATTTTTGTTAGACTACTCATTTAATTTATCCTGTTAAATGTTTTTACAATTTTGAAAAAACATACTGATATTAGATATGATACTATTTTATATGATATTGTGAGGAACCAAGGATATATGATAGTAATCATACATCACTTATTTGGCAACAGTTCAGTAAAAACTGCTCACTTGGTTAATGGATGGCTATAGGAGGGCTAATTATTGAGTGGGGAGGTTGTGAGTAAGTCGATAGGAGTCTGTTCTTTAAAATAATAAAAATTCACTTCCATTTTAACAAGTAAAAGTATATTTAATAAACCAAATAAAATTTAAAATACAAATGATGATAAAAAGTAACCTAAAGGGATATATCTAATTATTATCTAAGATATATCTAATTATAACACTATTACAATATATTGAGAGAGTTTACAATAAATATTAGTATAATACCTCATATATATATATATATATCTTTGAGACATGGGAATCATAGGTGATCGGGCACAAAATTAATATATATGGCAATTACTGTAGAATGTGCGCAGAGTTTGGCGCACAAACTCCTTTTTTCCTTTTTATACAAATATTCTTTTCCAATGAGAATTAAGTAATTTGACCATCTGACTGATGTCAAGATGAGTTTTTTTTATTTAGTCAGATATTTAGTCATAGGAGAGATAACGATCTCTCTCAGCAACTAACAGTCAAAAAGGAAATGTTTGTTCCTTGTTATCCTTGACTTTTTTATAAAATAAAAGTTTTTGAATTTAATATCAAAATATTATATTGATTTAAAAGTTTATAAAAATACCAATTCAATATTCAGATTCTCACAGTATCATCAATATAGAATTATCTGTAATCTGGTTTAATTTTCATTTTCCAAATTCATAGTATTCAGTCTCTGCTCAAATTTTTCATTATATATTTTAATGAATTAAATTTTGTTAATTCCTGTTAAATTACTGAGGAATAAAGTTGTTATTCCATTTCCTAGAAATGTAACAATATTGAAGAAAGTTTTACAATGACCATTTAAAAAAACTTTGTACAGGATTTTTAGAAAATGCTTGAACTTATGAAAGTAATGTAAAATTATATCTCAAGAATGTACTGTACTCCTAATGGAATAAAATACAATTAATATAAAAATATAATGATTAAACAACATTAAATCTTTATAATCCTTTTGTTATCTCAAGTTTTTTTTTTTTTGTGAACAAGGCATAATTATAATTTTATATTTGATTTCTTGTAAATCATCAAATTCAATATAAATTAAAATTTTTTTTAATCTATTATAAACAGGTACAGGATATCATCTTCATATTTCTAAAGGAAGTTCTTGTAATGTAGATGAAGTAACTAACATAATACAGAGTCATATACCCGAGGCCTCAGTACTTAGCAATTTAAATCAGGAGTTAATTTATTCATTATCTTCCCAACCAGAATTATTTGTTGCACTCTTTGAAAAATTAGAAAATTCATTTTTGCAGTTAGGAATTTTATCCTGTGGAGTATCTGTCACAACAATGGAAGATGTATTTCTCAAGTAAGTTTTTTGATCTGATATTTTTATATATTTATGTAATACGAGAGGACTTCAAAAAGTTTGTGGAAAAAGGATAGTATGAAAAAACAATTTCAATTATGATGATTATTTTTCAACATATGTTCCATTAAGGTCGATACACTTCTGCAAATGTTGACACCAGGTTTTAAATTTGTCTGAGTAGAACTGAGGGTCTTTCCATGTGAACCATGTCAGAGCAGCTTTTTTTACATCTTCAACTGATGGAAAATTGGTACCTTTCGGCAACTTATCCATTTGTAGGCTGTTGACTTCTTTGGAGCATTATCACCATAAACTTGTTCCAGAGCATCAATGATTTGCCTGTTCTCCCAACTAAGTTTCACCATGAACTTTGTTTATTCTGATTGCGATTTTGGTGGATTCCAAGTTGCTTGAATGGTGCCTGACTTTCAACTGGCATTGCTGCGTTCTTACCTGCATTTAAGGGTTCATGTTTTAACATGTTATAACACATTGGTACAAGAATGTTCAGGTGCATTGAAATCAAAATCCTTCCAAACAATTTTTAGTTATGGACTTTTTCCACAAACTTTTTGAAGCCCCACATATTTGCATTGCTTTTGATTATTAAACTTATAAGTATTATTATTGTATTTATTTCCATTATTCATTAATTTATTAACGAAAGGAAATCTTGCAGTATTGTGTTTGTTGCATTGCTCATTTATTCATAATCTAAGTAAAATTGGGGAATGAAAAATTAGTCTTTATAATGTTATTTTATAATTCAGTACTTGATTATGTCTGAATAGAATTATTATTAAAATAAGTCTCATTAGAAAAATTCAGGTTAAACACAACCTTAAATGTTTCTCTGTAGTATCTTATTATTCTAATGACAATTTTTAGTGAAAACATTTCTATTAAAAAGTGTAAATAACACTTAATAGATAAGGTCTTTTGATTATAAGTTTTAAATGTTTGTTCAATCACAAATCGAATTGTACAGTACCATTGGATTCATCATTAAAGAAAAAAATTATCACATATGGATTACCAATTTAATTTGAACAAAATTGGTAACCCATATGTGATAATTTTCAATGTGACAATGGACTGAAACTGAGATAAACGGCTGGATTTAATCCTTATATTGCTGTAGGCACAAACTAAAAATTTCTAAAATATTGCTTTTTCTGACATAGCCCAAGCATAAATGGTTCACATTAACTTTGACTGTAATTACAGAATATTCTATGAGGTGTACTAAATTTAATACATTTTTTTAAGTTTGAAAATGATATATTTTATTAAATGGTATAGTTTTAATGTACATTGTATATTGTTTTAATTACATTAATGCACATGTAATTTTCATGTTCAGATTGATAGCTTTGGTTATAATGTAATGTTATTATATTATTTAAATCATTATCTTTTATTTATATAAATGACCAAATATTACAAATATTTATAATTATTTCACTTGTGAAGTTCTTATACATAAGATGTTACCAGCGAACTTTGACCAGCATATTGTTTATTCTTTTTAACATGTTGGTTATCATTTGCAATCATTTTCAAGATTCCATACAACTTGAGTAAATAGATTATAGGAAATTTAGTGCTACTTTTTACCTCAAATATATGTTCATGTTTGTGAATTCAAATATGGGTCAAATTTGAATCAATGAAAGGAATGATTTTATGATTGTGCCATTGTCCTGGAATTTTTTAAACACTTTTACATATTGAGGGAGATGAGTAGCCTCAAATAAAAGATTGACTCTGTCCATAAAGGCTGTTGTGTTCCTGAGGTGTAGAAAAAGATGATACTATAAAATTCTTCATATTCTGTCTAATTTGTTAATATTTCTTATAAGAAATTATTTGTTAATAAATTTTGTGGAACTTCCATGTTCCTCAACAAAATAAAACAAAATTTAACTCGTATGTTTAGTTACAAAATCAAATCCAGATAAATTATTATTCATTTGTATAAATTTAATATTGATGATGATCCATTCTTTTGTTTTTATAAATTAATATAAATTCATTTCTTTATAGAGTTGGAAAAATATCGCAAAATAATTGTGAAGAAATGCTGAATAATGATGAATCTGAATCATTTGTCCATCTTGACAAGAATAAAGGTATTTTTTTTATAAAAATCAAATTATTGTTGGTCATAAATGTAAGGCTGTATATTCTGAAGACAAAAAAATAGTATAAAATAGTCATGCATTGTTAATGCATAACTATATTTTAAATTCTGTAGAAATATGTATTTTTTGTTTTGCTTTCATAACTTTCTAACTTCTGTTTAATGTTCTATATATTCTTTTGGTACAAATAAAAATGTTTCTATTACTATATGTTTCTTTTATCAGAATTGTCTATTTTTCTATATATGTTGAAGTATCTGTAAAAAGTGATCTTGACCTTTTTGAGAATCTGAACTTTTATTAAGGTCCCTTTTGATAGTACACAGAAGATTGATAGCAAAAACTAAACTAAGCTATTGATAATATATAGGTTTTTGTATTATCCAATTATTGTGGCTATGAGTTCCACAACTGACCTCTGGTCTTTTAATACTTAGTGCATAGCTTGCAACACACATTACTATTTGAGTCCAAAAAGATTTTTAATTCAAAATATTACCTGAAATATTAAGATAATGTAAATTTATATAGATAGAAAAACAAATGTAAGGAAAAATACGATATTTAATAATAATAATAATAATCATAATAATAATAATCTTTATTACATTATTATTTACTTTTTTCTTACAGATATCAAATTGTTATGTTCTTCTAAATCAACTGGCTTGAAGTTACTGATACAGCAAATGAAAAGCATTATTATAAAAAGATTTCATTATGCAAAACGTGACTGGATAATAATTATATTTCAATTAGCCATTCCCATAATTCTTTTCTCATTTATGATATGGTTGGATTCAACATTTTATGTTAAAAAAAATGAAAATGCTCTGGACCTGAATCTGGAAGAGCTCTATTCAAAAACAAATGCATTTTATAAGATTAACACAGAAATTGAAAATAATTCTTTAACAAACATTTATAAAAATATATTGGAATCGGAAGATGCAACAGTTTTCAAAACAGATAATGTTTTTGAATATCAGTTAAATCAGAGTAAACATTATAAATCTTATACAGAAAACGATCTCGTTGGTGCAACATTGGAACAAAATAATAGCTCTGTAAATATAACTTCTTGGTTCAATGGCGTTCCATATCATTTAGATCCAATATCATTAAATTTAGTAACTTCTTCCATTTTAAGGTACGCCACCAACAACAATCAGTCAAATATTCAAATTATTAATCATCCACTTCCCGGATCATTGGCAAATTCACATGATGTACTTTTCACTCAGTTTAAAAGCACACTTCTGTACGTTATTTTTACGTGTCTAGCCTTGACTTTTCTATCTTCAAGTTTTGTATTATTTGTAATTCATGAAAGAATAACAAAAGCTAAACTATTACAAAGAATGTGTGGATTGAATGGCTGTTTATACTGGTTTACGAATTTTATATGGGATTATTTACTTTATATTCTGTGCAGTTTTATATTGATCATTCCTTTTTTGGTATATTCTTCAACCAGTAAAGTGATAGAAGTGGAATCAATAGGTAAATATCTGTGAAGTAATTCTAAATTTTATTTTATTTTAAATAAATTAATATATGTAACATAATATATTAATAGAAATACTTGTATTTAAATCAATTTAACCATATTTGAAGTGAAAATTTTATCACTATATATAATAATAAAATTATTACTCTGTAGATTATCTTCTACCATAAATATTCTATATGTATAATATTACTAAATATCCAATAACTCTGCTGAATCCTGTACATTGGATAAATGATAAATAATATGATATTCTAAATAAGAAATATTTAGAATATCAAAGGCCATAATATTTTTTTTTTTTGCTAAATAGTATGTAAAAATTTCTCTTTCCATGAGAACTCTATGAACTCTGTTCATCTAAGTCGTCATTAAATTTTAAAATGTAATTTCAAATAATTTGCAAATATTCATAGCATCCATTTCATCCAAATCAAGCTCTGATGGTAATTGTTTTAATATTATCCACACATTTTTGGAAGAAGTCAACAAAATAATTTGCACAGTGTGGCAAAAAGTGTTTTTAAACTGTACTCATATTGTTTGCCACTTTGTGCTGTGCATACGTTCAGTGTATTTCTTAGACTAATCTTGAATTTGGCAATGAAATTGTATTGTTTTCCACTGTATTTTTAGCCTGTGAAAAAGTTCCTATAGACAGTAATTCTTAATGATTGCAATCATTCCTTGGAACAATCTGTAGTAATAATGGTAAAGATGATATACTGACCACTATGATAACGTAATAAATCAACTCTTGTCAAACACTTAATAAAAACATTCTAAACTTCAGTTACTAGAGACTATTAATTGTGTTGATTTGAAAATCATAGTAATAAAGAATGCCATATTAATCATGGGATTACTCTCATCATAATCATTTATTTCGCATTAAAAATATATGTTGTATATAGTTTTTCTATTTTAAAAGTCTAGCAAGTCATGTTGTCAGTATCATAGCTGGATTAGGGTGGTGCATTATTGATGCCTGAGACTTGGCTGTTGTATTTCCAGAATTGGGTGTTGGTTTTCCTCTTTACCTGTGTCCATTAATTGAGCAGAATAGGGCCAACATATTGAAGCTGGATGTCAAAGATGACCCAGGCATTTCATTTGATAATCATCACTTCATTTAGAGGAAGTGCCTGGCTTTCATCTAAAATTTCACTGTTATCTTTATGATCATGCCAGACATAGCTAAAAACAGTCACAAAAAAAAATCTGTTAAGGTTAAGTTCCAAATTTGGGTGGCATTAAGAAATATATCTTTACTACTGATACTGTTGTAAAGTTGGATTTCTATTTGTGAACCAATGAGGTCAGATTTCCATATTTTGTTTAGGTTTTTGTGGTGTTGCAAGGTTATCTGCATTCTGAGTTATATCTTCTATTGTATTGATGTAAAAACAAATTTATTTATTTAGTTTTTAACTTCTGGTCAGTTTTGTTCATATGTAATATTACATATGAATAAAATTATGATTTAATTTGAGATCAGTTGGAATCAAAAATTTAAGTTAGAAATTTAGCAAGTTTAGAAATTTATTCCAACTGAAATATACAATTGTAAATAATTATTAGGATGCAATTTTAAAAAATTGTAGATCCTATAAATTCCTTCTGTTGTCTGTCCTTCAATCTCAAGAATAGAATTAAATAGATGAAAGTTGAGATCAGATATGGAAAGCTTAGGGGCAGGAGGCCGCAATTAACTATATATGGACTTCCAATGCAAACTGGAAGTCATTATTTCAATTCAAAAATTTTTTTCCAAAAGGAGTAAGGGTACGACTATGCAGACACGAATTTAGAGCGAGCGAGAGGTTGCGAGCGATTTAGTTTTCGCAAAGGAAAATCATGCACAAACGAGAAGCGAGAAATAACGCTAGCAAGAGCAAATTTCTAGTTTTCGCACATATCTGACAGGTTTTGATATTTATCGCGTCTCGCCTCTTCTCGCCACATATTCTCACTTGCTCGGAAAATTTGCCCGCTCGCGTCTGCATAGTTGCACCCTTAGATCAATGACCTGGCACAACTCTCTTGTTAAATGAAAAGTATGATGTACAGGGGTAAGCCACTACTAATTTGAGGTGGAGAGCATATATTTTAAATTAAATAAATTAAAAATATGATTGAAAATTACAGCTCGGCATTGTGACAGTGTCAAAACAAATATTGCTCATTTTCTAAACTTTCTTATCGTGTCCTTTAGAATATCTCTTCTAATGTAGAATATGCTCTAAGTTCAGCAGTTATTTAAATTTTTCAGATGTTTAATGTAACAATGGAAAGATATGGAAAGATATTTTTCTTATAACTCTTGTATATAATGTAAAAAATATTAGAGAAATGATTCATATACCTAAATTTTATAATTTCATAAAATATTTTTGAACCTATGAGTAATTTTGAATTTTTAATAAAAATTTTAAGCGTTATAATTTGTGTAATGATTATATCTTATATTTCAGGTGCAATATTTTTAGTATTTGTATTACATGGATGGGCGATACTTCCTCTAGTTTATATTCTTTCTTTTCTTCCAAAACAACCGTCAACAGGATTTGCATTATTAGTTGTTTTTTGTATTTTAACTGGTAAGAAAAATTTCTTATAAAATTATCAAATTTTAACAATAAAATTTTTTCATGTTATTTAAATGCTAGGATGTTTGTTTTAAAGTTATGATATACATATATAAATATCTCAAAGCCCAATATTTTCATAATAAAACCAAACAATTGTCAGATTTAAATCTTTGTTTGGTTTCATTAAAGTCAGGATTATAATAATAATCAAATTAATGGATCCAGATTAACTATTGGACTAGAATTTGGCTAACTATATGGATATGTAGTTTTGACTAGAGGTAAACAGTTATGCTGCCATCTTGTATTAAATTTAATAATTAAAAATAAATTGCTTTATTCTATTTTGGAAAAAATCAGTCTGGAGCAGAACTTGAACCTGTGAAACTCCTTATTGTGCAGATACATTACCAATTACATTACCTAGAATTCTGTCCAATCTTTAATTCTAGATCAATTAATTTACAAGATACAGTAGACTCAACATTAACTCGAACTCAAGAAACTGGCAAAAGATCAAAGAAATAATGCTTTAAATAAAAATTAAATTAATTTTTAGCAGAAACTTAAGTTTTTAAACTTGGCATGCCACTCCATGAGTGAGCCTGTGGTTTGTACACTACATGTTTGTCTACCACTCCCACAAATTCATTGTATGTAAACATACTGGTTAATTGGGATCTACTGTTATTGGCTGTTTTTATAATATTGTGTTACATTAAGTTTGTCTTTTGTTTTAAATTGCATTTAATTACTGTTTCAATATTAATTTCAAATCAATACTATACCATGTCATACCATAAACTCTATGTTCTATTTTTAATACTAACTTTCCCAAGCAATCAGAAACTACATTTTATCTAGTATCTACCAATCCCTTTGGGTACTGGTTAACTGAGGGTATATCCATGTTTAGTCACTTGTCACACTGATAATTATTAGTATATAAGCAAAAAACCAAGCCAAAATTATCAATATAGTAACATTTGAAGTTTGAATTTTATGACTGGACTGACTGAGATTAGTGTTCATTTTCTATTTGTTTTTTTTTTTTATTGTCCAGTTTTGAGACTGAAGATTTTTATTAGTATAGTTTGGGCTTTGTTTTTATGTAACCCTAGTGTAATTATTTGGCTTATTCTGTAAAATTTGATTAGTATAGTTCATGTCTAATTTTGTTAATTTCACTTTTAAATTTTAAAATATTTATGTATATAATAATGGTACTAAAATATCATTAAATGCAAAAAATCATCTTAAATACTGTATGTATGTAGTATTTACTAGCACAAACCTTAGTTTTTCCAAATTTTTGCAACTAAAATTTTTAGTCCACTCCTCAAATGGTTGTGATTCCCTATGTCAAAAAAGTTTCAGTTCTATATAGTTTACTAGATGGAAACTACTCTATAGATACTACATTAATACATTTTGTACAAGTAAAAGCATGATTGCATTTCAACAGAAGGTTTATTTGCACAAATTTTTTATTACATCAATTTGGGCATTTTATTGGTAGGTCTAAATGTATAGCAGTTAGTGGTATCAAAGTGTGACAAAGGTGTGCTTTATAATCAAGAATATATGGTAATTGTCAATCTAAAATCTTCCAAAAATTTAGTAGCCCTCTGGCAGTGAGAAAAAGATACTAAATATCAATGAAAAGGTAATACATATAAAAATAGTGATTGTAAATTGGTTTTTTTTAAAATAATTAACAGTTGTTTTTGGAGTAAAGCATATTTATGGAATTATCGTACAGACATTATTGTACGTCATACAGTGCCCGAAATAATCATACAAATACGCTAATTATTGTACAGATGTCAACCCTGAGATGACATGTTAATTTTTATCAATGTTGCCAGGCTTTAAGAGGAAATGTCACCAATAAAGTACAGTATTTTGTAAAGCAGTAGACAAAAAGTAGCCAAAAATCACAATAAAAATTGGTTAGCTGTAGTCAAAGATTTTACTGTTAAATTTGACATGTTTTTATTTTTAGTACACAAAAATCAGTGTTTTAATTTAATGCCCTCTATGGCAAGTAAAATGATTGATGTGGGATAACATTTTTCTTTTAGTTAAAATACAGAAAGAACTACGTGGGAATGAAGAATATGGGAAAAATTAACATATGGGTCCTTATTTGGGACTGGAGCAAACCACCGATAGAGAATCCACTGTATAGGATCGTTAAGTCTATCAAAGATCTCTTATCACTTATTAACATCATTTGCTAGTATCGGGCATCTTAACTTTCATTATCTTTACATCATTTGCTAAAATGCATCTTAAATAAATTTTTAAAGGACAAAATAAATCTGTTCTATTTACTCTGTTAACTGAAGATGTTTAAATCAAGATGAAAACATTTCTAAATACTTTGGTAACCTCAACTTGAGCAGTTTGTTTTACTGTTATTTGAGAAATGTAAGCCAATATCAAATTAACCAATCTACAACTTACTGAAAATGCTATCATTAAATAAAATTCTTATATTAAGTTAATTTTATTCCTCTGATGACTTTCTTACAATAGCTTTTATTTTAAGGAATGATACTAGGAATAATTTTGATTGTACTTGTTAATACACAAGTTATGTCAGCTGAAGATTTAGACACGACCTTGTGGGTGACTCGTTTATTTCCTAACTTTGCTGCAACCTGGTCAATAAGTGGAATCCATAATATTAGCGTTTATAATACGATGTGTGATCAACTTGACAGTGTTATGTTGAAGTTTGTGTGTGAAAGCCCATCCAGGATTGATCTACTTCAATGTTGTCAAAGTAAGTAAATTAAATTTGATTGCAATATGTGTTCATCTTAAGTAAATATTAAAAATTTTGATTTAAATATTTGCACATAACATTGCAGTAGCTGTTACACATGCATATGTACTATGTGTGGACTGTACAAGAGTGTATCCTTGTTTCAAGTTATTAAAAATAACTTGAAACAAGGATACATCTCATCAGATAACATGGAGTACTTGGTAAATTATTAAATAAACTTGATTTGTTTGCAGTAAAACTTACATTACAATTCTGAACTGTTTTTGTGTGTCATAAAAATTACAACCCCTTTTTTCAATGAACTTCATTTACCACTTAAACTTTAAAAAATTTACATAAACTTAACTCTTGCATACATATTAAACCAAATGCTATAAATAATCCTTTTGTAGATAAACAAATTCATTCTAATAACTTTCTCCTGGATTTCATTAGTTCAGAATACTTAACTATGCAAATCTTGCAACTGCTTGGCAACACATTGCAATGAAGTTTATTTAGAAAGGAATTTTGGAGAGTTTTATGAAATTTCTCAGTTTTTATGTCACATGTTTAATATATAAAAGGTCGATGTCTGTGAAAAATTGGCAAGAGGTAAGGAAGTACCAAATCAATCAGGAAAATTATCTAGAAATGAGTCTTTCAATACAGTATTATGGGAGATGTAAAGCTATTTCAGTCTACAGTCAAGGAAATCATTTAAAATGTTTTTGAGAAAGGGGAAATGCTCATCCAGATAAAGCTTTAGGCAGAAAACTTTCCCTTTGTCCCAGACAACTATGGTCATTTTGATGCTGTCCCTTTCCCAAAACAGACAAGTTTTGGGAAATGTATATCATTTGGAGATTTGACAAAGTGGGTGAGAGAATACTTTAATATTGCATTATCTGAAGATGAAGCTAATAATCTAGCTTGTTCAAGTCCAGAAACCACAGTCTCTAGTGGTTTGAGGATGAATGAGCACAGAGGAAATTGGAGATTTGCATTTCTGAAATGTTGCTGTGAACTATGAAGCTTATATTTCTAAACCTTCAGTAACATCTACATGAATCAAAATGTAAACTTTTCAAAGAAGGGCCTGTATTTTTCATTATGACAATGCCCATTAGTATAATGCTAGGAGAACCAAAGCCTGGCTGCAATCTAATCATATAAATGTACTTCCCTGGCCAGCATGCTCAAGCCCAGACCTGTCTCCAATAGAAAATGTTTAGAGATTTTTGAGAAAGAAAGATGACTTGATATCATTCTCGCACATTTAAAACAATTACATATATATTTAAGTAAAGAATGGAAAAGAATTCCCATGAAATTGCTACACAAATTTATGTCTTCCATGTCTCAACACCTTGCAACTCTTATAAAGTGAAAAGGTGATGCTATTCCATGGTGATTACAGAATCTTAACACATTGAATGAAGTTCAAAGAAATGTGTTGCAAAGATACTGCAGATTATAAATTACATATTTCAATAGTAACATACTTTCTGATCTTTTGATATGTTTGTGTGATTACTTATCTTTATAATAAATTTGCTTTTCATTACAAAATAATATAATTCATAGTACAATCAATGCACAGATGTTTAAATTGTTACTGGTGAACAAAGTTCATTACAAGTGGGGTTGTAAGTCATAGAAATTAAAAATATACACATGTTAATACAGCTACAGTGCTAATGACTAACATTTTAATATCAAATAAGTGTTTAAAGGCTTTATGAAATTTTAAAATTGATGAACTTTTTTTATTCAGCATACAGGGTAGAATCTGTGTGAGGCATAATGTAATCAACATCAACAAAGTTAATTAAAAACTTATAATAATGTAAAAATATCATAGTAAATATTTTATAATAATAGTAGTAGTAATAACATTTGAATCTGTACAAGAAAACTGAAAAACAGTGGTATTAAGCAATAATTCAATACAATAGTGTTTAAAACACTTAAACTGGGAGCATCTGTTAAAAGAAAACCTTAACTGCTGACTTAAATGGATTAAAAAAACCTTACTTAAATTTTTACCTGTAAAAGTATAAACAGATTAACATAATTCTTATGGTTCCAAATCTGATATCCTATGTACTTAGACAAATTTCATTGATTATATTGTTCTTTCAAACACCATAACCCGTGTATTTCTATTAATAGGAATACACGGTACAGTAATAGTGTTTTGGTGATAAAAATACAATACTACTGGACATTCCTCATCTTTAGATGAGGGATGTCCAGTAGTGTTGTATTTTTAGTGTTTAGTGTAGTCAAACTTAAGGACCTGTGATCACATTTGCCATGTCTAAAGATGAGGAATGTCCATTCCTCATCTTTAGACATGTAGTGTTGTTCAGCACAAGCAAAATTTTAACACATGTTTCTTTTTCAAAAAGTAGTGTTCTATAGCAGGAATAAAACACTTCAAGATCCAATCTTCAGACATGGCAAATGTGATCCCAGGTCCTTAAGTTTGACTTCCAAAGAACAGGAAGAGCTGATTTAATGATGCAAATTTCTCTTGGATATTTGGAGCAGTAAACAAGCAAAGACTTGAACCTAAAATCTCCAGATGCATTACCCCCTAAATGATAGTTAGTCTATCCCTTTGCTGCTTTATGCCCTCTAAACTTTTTTCTTTAGCAATGCGAGTTGTTTTGGACATTTTCATTTTTTTTAAACACTTCATTTTCAAAACCATGTTAAATATTTGTAAATAACTCCAATTTTCTTACATTTTAGGAAATTCAGTTGCTGAAACTACATTTGTCACTCTTGCACACAAAAATAGGACAAACATAATATTCAACAATTAAACCAACCTTTACTTAAAAAAAAATTCATTAAAACTATCTTTACTTTCTACACACAACTCTTAAACTGTCATAAATGCTTGTCTTTTTTCCTATACTAATGCTAAACTAATAGGAATGTTTATTTTGATCTTTTAGTTTAGTCAATAATAATCTTTCCATTTAAATAATTAATTTAGTACATTGCTTAGTAATAATTAATGCTTTCATTGGATCAGGCCTTTCATACGTTCAGTTATTCTCACTTTATCCTTTATAATTGTTTTGATAGTTCAGCAACTGAAGCCTAATGCTTTCCCAATGAATAATGGCCATCTGTCTTTCTCCAAATACTTAATTATTTCTACTTTTGTTTTCATTATAATTGCCTTTCTCTTTGCTGCAGACTCACCTGGACTTACAGTGGACTTTTGCTTTCAAAGTATGGTCATAAGGCTACACACATAACTGAATAAAGTTAAAATAAATATGCTACTGTTCATAAGTAACCATATAAACAATGAGACTAGCCAAGTGTTGCCAGAAGAAATTATTTATAAAAATCAGATTTTTCCTTAAAAATTTAGTAAAAACCAGTAGATTTTCTTTTCAAATCATAAAAATAATTCACTTTTTACTTATTACATTTACTGTATTACATGGTGTGTCTTAATAATAAAAATCACTAATATTTTATCTTTATATTATGCAAACAAGAGAGAGTTTGTACAAAACACTTATCTATTGATTCTTCTTTTAATGCAAATTTCATGCTGTTTAAAATGTCACATACCTTTTTGTTCATTTTTTTTCTTTCTCAAATTAATAAATTATCCGTAGTTAATTATAAATTATTTTTAGGGGTGTGTATTGGGAGCCCATTCATACTAATGGAATGCCATAAGTTGGGTCATCCATAACCCATGTCTTCCTGTATAGGAATATTATGAAAACATAGGTTTTAAATTAATTTATCTATACAAAAATTTAAAATTTTCAATATTTATGTACAAGTTTGTTATACAGTTTTGAACTATGTTGATATATGTTAATTATTGCAAATTATTAAACCTTTTTAGGTGACATTTGTAAAGACAAATGCCATAAAAGAGTGAGTTATTTATCATGGGAAGCGACGACTGGTAAAGACTTGATGTTTCTGGCTATTGACGGATTGCTATACTTCTCTATTTTGATATTTATTGAAACATTTTTGCCAAAATTATGGTATAAATTTACTAAAGTATTAAAACAAAAATATAAACCAAGGATGAGAAATATAATTGTTCCTGCTAACGAAGATAGCGATGTATTGAGTGAACGAAATAGAATAAATATTCTTCAAAAATCGCAACTTACAGAAGAAGCAATGATAGTAACAAATTTAACAAAGAACTTCAAATCATTTTGTGCTGTTAATAACTTAACATTTTCTGTACACAAAGAAGAATGCTTTGGATTATTAGGAATAAATGGTGCTGGAAAAACGACTACATTTAGAATGTTAACTGGTGATTTGATGCCATCGGAAGGCAATGCATATATTGATGATTATAATATTAAAGAAAATATAGAAAAGGTAATTATTTTTTTTTTGTAAAATATATAAAATTAAATTAATATTTATGATTTTTATAGTTTAGTTTCTAAGTTAACAAATCTTGAAGGTTACAGGATAAAATTATATAAAATAGAAGAACTCATAAAATAAAAATAACTAAAATTTATACAGTCGACCCCCCCTATAACACTGTTGATTATTCCGTTTTATATAAATTCCATGTTGTACGAGTCATTTAGATTTTACAAATACGTGAGCTGTTTACAGCCCAGCACACGTATTTGTAAAATCTAAGTGACTCATACAACATGGAATTCATATAAAATGGAATAATCAACAGTGTTTTAGGGGGGTCGACTGTATTTCAAATTTTTAATATTGATGATCTGTTTCCTTATATTTAGAAATTTAATTCTTTGGTCAGTTATAAAATTTTTAAACAAAATTTTGACATCAAATACCGAAGTAATAAATCATACATACTCAAATGTTGAAAAGGAAATATAAACATGGTAGCCTTTTTTTTCCTTTAATAGTTTTCTTAAATAATTACTGATTATATCAAGAACAAACAGCTAAATATTTAAACTTTTGTATGGTAAATGTATTTTAAATCTAAGCATCTTTATGTTTAGTGCTAGTGAAGTGTGAGATCCTGGGACTCTGGAATAACCCTTTTTCACATTCTGGTTGGAAAGTAAAATAAAAGAAAGATCTGTCCGGAGAAATCTTTCTCAATAGTCCTGACACCAGTTAAGATAAATTATCTTGCATCCTAACTTGTGAGTTAGTTCCTTTCCGAGTGGAAAAAGTATATTAGAAACTTGTTGGGATTTTAGGAGGGTTTTTGTTAAATTGTTAATAATGAGGGATATGTGGGTAGATGATGGAGTTAGGCATTAATCAAATCAAAATATGATAATATAAAGGATAAATTTATTTATAAGGTATGATGAAAGTTATTATATATGGTGATTGAATGTTACTTATATAAAAATATCATGTAACAAAAGTAAATCTCAAAGATATAAATGATTTCCAAAGGAGATAACAACAATTTATTTTCTAATGCTTTTTCTATGAGAGAGAGTTTACAAAATTATATATTACCTGCAGTACATGTATATTTAACATGGAGCATTGGTTCTCTCTAATTTAGGCACAAGTTAAATTCTTCCTTAATCTTATCTTCACTTGTCTATGTATTAGAATGAGTAAGAGTAGAGAACTGGGAGAGGGACAAGAGCATTGGCAAGAGCTTTAGTAAGGTGTACCTGAAGATGACCTCCTTACCTTTTATACTAAAATTCCATCTAATAGGATTATTAGAAATAGCTCCCTGCTTCAGACGCGTGATGGAAGTCATGTGGTTCTGCAGATAGAGAGTGAGACATCACACTCTATCTATCGTTTTTGGAGGAACTGAATTGTTTTCCTCCAGTTAAAAAGGAAGTTCCTTTTTCAACTTTAAGAAATTTTATGATAGATAAAAATTTTTGTCAAAATTATGACAATTATTTTAACAAAATTTGTTATAAATATAATCTTCCAACTCCAGATTCTCACAAACATATCTGCAATTTTTTTAGAGATAAGACTTAGTGACTTCAGTGAGGTATTTCATGAAAGATTTCTTCCAATTTTAACATTTAGAACATCTGAACCAAGAACAGAAAAGAATTGACACAATACTTTTGTTAGCTAAAAACAAAATAGTGAAATGTTAAAATCAATTTTTCTTCAAGTAAAAGTGTGAGATTTTGGACACACCCACCCTAATTAATTGGAAATCGATGTCAAATACATAAATTTATAGAAGTAATATTTCTGATTTTAAGTTAAAACGAAGGAAACTGGTAAGTCACTTCCAAGTCACTTCCTTCAATGGAAGTTCGACATCCTTTTTGTTTTCCCTTATCTTTACAAATTTTAGTCACCCTGGGAACAGTCAACCCCTCGGTAAATCCCCCTTTTTCCTGTTCACGTGGAAAAATACAATAAGCTAATTGGTGAAAACTCGTCAGAAACAGAAAGAATTTTGAATTATTTGGGGAGTATGCCACGAAATTCAAGAGAAGAAGGACGTATTCCACATCTCCCTACAGCCAACGCCCATAACTGATTCCTGAAGTCTACTAAAATGTGTTATTAAGTCAGTAAATAAGAGAAGAAAATGTTTATTGATGTCCTATTGAAGAGTTAACCAAGATAAGAACATTCGTATTAATCTGAAATACAGAAGAAGAATATAGAAATGTCTGAGGTAGTATGATTTTTACAGAAATTGTGAACTCTCTCTCTGCAATAAATAGCGTTATTCGAAGGTCTATTTTGTATTATCTTATTTTGTTTATTAAATATTTGTTCTATTGTTAAAGAAATGGTCTCCCAAGTATCTGAATCAAACCTACTAAATCATCTCCTTCACGATTCAATACGTGTGTTAATCCGCGGGTTATAAATCTGATTAACTGGTGTCAAGGATCCTGACATTGGATAGGGAGTTCGCCGTCTATATCCTTTTACTTATAACAAGCCCTCCTAGAAAAAGTTTTAGTGAGCCAATCTAACAATTGCGAGTCGGTAAGTGATATAGGTCAACTTTCTATGCTCTTGATTCTCACAAAAGGATTTTAAAGTGCACAAAACAGAAGAACATCAATAATTGTTTAATTCTGTTGCCAATTTAAATACTAATTTTTAAGGTATTATACCTTTAAAAATTTTTTCATTTCCAAATTTTAATTTTTAATTATCTAAACCTTTTTACTGTTTCAAACTTCTTCAGTATTAATTCTTATTTTTTAGTTTCAAAAGGCACTCGGATATTGTCCACAATTTGATGCTCTGATTAATCGTCTAACGGGACGAGAGATGCTGGTGTTGTTTGCAAACTTGAGAGGAATTCATAAAAACAATGTTGATCTTCTAGTTAATAGAATAATTGAGATGTGTGATCTTGAAAAACATGCCAATAAAGTTACAGAAACTTATAGGTAAATTCTTATCTGAAACTGTTATTGAATTATTTGTATATAAAAATTTGATGTAAAGTAATATAATTATTTTAATGATGATGATAATCCTTATAGTGGTGGCACAAAACGTAAATTATCTCTGGGATTAGCCCTCATCGGCCTGCCATCCATTATTCTTCTCGATGAACCGACTTCGGGACTTGATCCAATATCACGTCGCAAGATATGGAAAACACTCATTATAATGAGACAACTGTTAGACGTATCGTTTGTCCTAACCTCACATGGGTAAATATATAAATTAGAACTTAAAACAAATTAGATGAAAATTTAAAAAATAAATTTCTTTGATATTTTCAGTATGGATGAATGTGAAGCTTTATGCAACAGGATTGCAATTATGGTAAATGGCCAGTTTCGTTGTCTGGGTGCGATGCAACATCTCAGAGCAAAGTACGGACAAGGATTTACACTTATTGTCAAAGTAAAACGATCATCATCTGAAGAAAGAATTGTAAATGTAAAAAGATTTATTGAAAGTTCGTTTCCAAGTGCTGTGCTTAAGGATGCACATCAGGTAAAAAAACATAGAATTTTTACATTAAATTATAATAAACATAATAAAATTGAGTTAAGTTATTGTTAGGAAACCAACTATGCAATAACTAACTATTTAAATAAGTTGTCATCTTGGTTCTACAAAATTGGAAGCATATAATTGGAAGCTTGTAGAACCACAAGAAATATACAAGCAATGTAGTTCCAATATACATGCACTTACAGTTGATGCAGTTTCACATATTGCCTATTTATTTTTCTTCATTCTTGAGTTATCACAGCTAAAAGTAATTCAGTTGAATTAATCAACATCCCTTTAATGGTGGGTGAAATTTAAATAACTTGAATGTTTTTGATCTACTTAATGCACCATCTTCAGATGTGGGTAGTTAAAAGTGGAATGCTGGTGTTTGAAGAAAGACAGGATAGACCCTAATAAAGAGTCTGGGAAGATTGACTAAGACTGCAATGGTTGATGCATAAGATTTAGGGGAGATTGCCAGGCAAGGGAAAGGAGTCCTTGTCCTTGCTGTTTATACATGTATATGTGTACAAATTTCACACCTCTCTATGATGACATGGGAGGGATTAGAGATGATTTTGATGCCTGCCAATCTACCTCTGTACTGGAAAGCTGTGTGAAGGAAGCTATTAAAGTAAAAGAATCCACTACAGTTTTATCATTATACTAGCAGGTGGGCCCGGCGTTGCTAGGGCAAAAGTAACCATAACTAAGATAAAGATTATTACGTTACAGTCAACCTTACCCGTTTTCACAGAATGCAAGAATTGGGTCCCCTTGTTTCCAGACTAATTAGAGAACTTTTAGATGGTTCTAAAAATATGTTCGATTTCCCCGCAAAAACAAAAGAACTGCATCTGTGCCTGTAAATCTTGCACGTCGCTTTCTCTTAACAATTCCATTGTTACTTAAAACTTCCATTGTTACTTATATTTGGTAAGCCTCAGATGGATCTTGGTGTATACAACATATTTTATATTGATGCCTTGTCCCTTAAACTTCAACTTACTGTTTTACAAGATTTTACTATATTACTAGTAATAAACTTGAAGAAAGGTTTGAAGGATTTTGGAGCAGGTGGAGACATACATACACAAGTGTTTCCTTCTCTTCCTCCATGTTCTCTTTCTCCAAGGTTTATTGATTAATTTAACTGAGTAATCACAGTGGCTAGTTCATTCTTATCAACTAATTCATGCTAATTACATAAGTAGCACACAGTTTACACAGACAATAATGTTTAGCAGCTTTTAGTTTCATTTTGAAAACATTTTTAAACACTAAAAATGGAATTAAATTAAGCCCTCGTTACCTCAAACCAATTTTTAAAAGTTTAACAGATATTTTTGGCTGTCATTTAATGGTACATGACATGTCACATGATCTGTTCATGATGACTGTCTATTGATGTTTTGTGCTGTGAATGTAACATGTTATTGATTTGTAAAATGTATCTTTATTTCTGACAAGAGTGTTGTAGAATTGATGAAATATGACATTTAAATATTCTAATATAGTATATTTTTACTTGATCTTTTTTCTTTAGGACATTTTACATTATCATGTGACTGATCCAGCAATTAAATGGAGCAAGATGTTTTCTCTAATGGAAAATGCCAAAGAAGAATTTCAGTTGGAAGACTACCTCATCAGCGGCACTACACTGGAACAAATCTTTTTAGCTTTTGCAAAAGCACAGATAGAAAATTGTTAAATTTGTTTTTTCGAAATATATATTTTTATACGAACTATATCAAATCCCATCACGGTTCCATTTTTATATATATTAATTGTTATCCATTTTTAAGACTTTTTTACTAAATTAAGAGGGTAAATTATTTTAATATTGTTTCGAAGATGTTCCTGTTTGCCATTTGTGTCCATTAAAAAAGAATTCTAGTCATTTGCAATATAATGCATTGTTGACTTGATGATAGAAATTTTATTAAATATTACGCTTTGATTAGATAAAATATATAATTGTCTGTTACTTAAATGATGTATATAAATAAGCTTAAAAATCATAGAATTTGCTCAAAATCAAATTTTGAAAATCTAATAATCAAAATATCTATTTTGTCATATCCCTGTTACACTATGAAGAAAGACATTTAACGATATTAACAGTATTAATTAATTAGAAATCTCCGAGAAACGAGTTAACTGTTAATCATAAGATAGTCATTACTATGAAGAGTGAGCATGTTTTGTCATATCAAAGTGAATATAGTGAGAAAGTTTTCAAAGTGATACTGCCAGAAATATGTATAACAGTATATATATATAAATAAATTTTATTTTGTATTTAAATTTTAAGGTCATTCCAAATAAAAAATATATTTAATTTTTTCACTTTTTGGTGTTTGATGTTTTAAATAATAATCAGGTAAGTTGCAAAATTATTTTTATATATAATTGACATTATTGCCGCTATGGGTCAAAACCGCAGCCTCGACACTCCTTAAGTTCTGACAAATTGGTAGAAAATACTGGACTCTATCGGTAATCTAGTATTTTCTGTCAGTGTTTTATAACAAGCTTCTTTATTTCAAATGGTAGTTAATAATAAACAAATGCTTCTGTTGTAAAATTAAATTGGTCTTTTTCATGACTGACTCCATTGATCTTTACCACAGAATTTTAATCAGAGTAATTTTACAACTGAATTTTACAAAAAGAAGTTCATTAACACTAAAATAAGTTTTTAGAGTCCAACAGATTGTTTTATTTTGGAATTAAACATTTTTCAAGATATTGCCTCCCATCAGATTCCACCATTACAGACCAGAACAAAAATTCTAGAATTTTTTTTGAATAGTTTGTTTTTAAAATATGTTAAATATATATTTAAAATTCAGAGTTGATCTAATCAGATTAAGTAAAACAAGTGATTAGTATATATTTTTAAGATTAAATATATACATAAATCGTAGCTGTAAAATACTCTCATAAGATTGAATTTAACAAACTTTGACAGACTAGCCACAAACAATACAAGAGTTTGGGTGAAACACTATGTAGTATAAGATTCTACAACATAAGGGAAATATTTTTACAAAGAAACTGATCAATCCATTATTTTAAATTATTCTTAGGTTGCTTGCTTTTTTGTCAAACTTTCAGTTGTACTCAAATTGAGGAAATCGTTCTTTTCTTTCTATGAAAGCAACTCCATGACAACTGACCTCTAACTGCTCTACTATTCTGATGGGAAGTATTTTACATCAGGTCTGGTTTCATTCTAGTTAGTGGTGGATTTGCCTGTTAGGAAACTTGGAATTTCTCAATTTGCCATATTTTTGTTGCCTAATAATAATTTTCATAACACCTTTCTTTTTTTTCTGGCAATTTCTTTAATGTAACTAATGTTTTCGTCTATTTTGAATGGCCTCCTTCGGGTTAAATAAAAATAGAATGTCTGTTATAAAATAAATCGGAACGTAAATTTAAAACATCAATCTTGTGATAATCATGGTTTTGAATAGAATAAATTAACAAATACAGAAATAAATAAAAATAAAATTGTGTGTTAAAATTAACAAGCTTAGTGCAAAATAAACATTGTTTAAAACATTAAATTGTATAAATTTATAAATTTTATCTTTATAAGTCACATGACATTCTTACAGGAATGAGTAAATTAACCCACTTCCCCTAGGGGATTGTCTAGAAGCGATTGCCAAGTGGTGTGTAATGAGTCGGCATCCTTGCTATTAATGCAGTTCTCTTTAAGGGATTTTGTGAATATTTATAACGTTTCTAGTGCTCTTAGTTTGTATGCTAAATCTGCCTTGACCTTCTTGGCTATGACTTTATAAGTTTGGCTCAATCTAGGGTCAAAGTCAACAACTATGAGTTTTCTTTGTTGTTTTAGAGATTTTGTATTTACTGCTCCCATTTCTATGTTGCCCTGTATCTTATGACCTAGCCTTTCTATTAACTTACTGCTGTAACCGTGGGCTATGGCAATGTGTTTAATGCATTCTGTTTCTTATAGTGCGTCCCTGACATTAGATGTTGAAGGGATAAAGAAAGATTATAGATTAGATTTATGATACAACTTTGTAGTTATACAACCATTTCTCAACTGTATTTGGAGGTCAAGGAAATGAGCCACCCTATCACTTTCTTGCTCTAACTTTAACGTAAGCCGAAATGGGTTGCAATTGAAAACCTACATATTCTATCCATATCTGGCTTAGATCTCCAAATAATAAGGATGTCATCAATGTAATGCATGTATAATATAATTTTTGAAGCAACGTTTTCTAAGACCTCGCTCTCTAACTTTCTAACTATTAATTCACACAGATCTCCAGATAGGGGGCTACCCATTGGAACTCCACTTTTTTGAAGATAGGTTTGCTTGTTGAAAGGAAAAAATGATGTATAGCACATTAGGTGGGCTAGCTCCAGGATGTGTTTGGATCTAGATGGTACTGCCTGAAATAGGAAGTCTCTATTTTGTCAATTTCATTCACACACAAAATCAGTTCCAATTCAATGGAAGGGTACAGTACATTGCTTCAAAATCAAGAACTGTAATATACTTGCAATCTATTAAAGCATTACCTTCCAATTTAGCAACGAGTTCTCTAGTGTTTGAAACAGTATAGTTGTATTCTTTTAAATATTCTATTTGGAGCTCATGTAAACCTTTTTTCAATGGCTAGATTTGGGGATCTTGATTTGTCTACAATGGGCTGTATTTGTTTGCCTGGTTTGTGGGTTTTTGCATAGCCAAATAGCCTTGGTATGTCAGGTGATTGCATCATAGCAATCCCGAATCGCAGACATTTAGCTAAGGGTGCACCTGTAAATCTTACAACCCTATTGTGGAGTTTGTCTATATATCCTCTTCTATCTTCTGGAATTCTGTAGATCTTATGTACTCTTCCAGTAGCACTATGTATGTAGCTTTCTTCATAAGTACCATGTTTCTGCTTTTATCTGCTTTGGTAAGTGTGATGTCGTTAGTCTGGAACCACTTCTTACTTTCACTTAGGTTTGTCCAGAGGTTCTTATTCCTATCATCTAATTCTTTTCTCAAGCTGGAACTGCATTCCATCTGAAGAATTCTTTGTGGATCGAGGCAGATTTAGCCTTGAACCTACAATCTTTCTTTATCCCTTCAACATCTAACAACACGATATACGTAATAAATAACAGCATACAGGGCTCTGCCTCAAAGAGCTTTTACCCATTGCTCTAACGTCAAGGACGCACTACAAGAAATAGAATGCATTAAACACGTTGCCATAGCCCATGGTTCAGCAGTAAGTTAATAGAAAGGCTAGGTCATAAGATACAGGGCAACATAGAAATGGGAGCAGTAAATATATAATCTCTAAAACAACAAAGAAAAGCATAGTGGTTGACTTTGACCCTAGATTGAGCCAAACTTATAAAATCATAGCCAAGAAGGTCAAGGCAGATTTAGCATACAAACATAACCCATCGATATATAAACTTCTTACCAATACCAAAGTTAAAGGCAACAAAGCCAGAAAACCTGGAATATACTCAGTACCACCGGACGACAATAGGTTTAATACCAACAGGAAGTTAACGTACATAGACTCAACAAACAGATCGTTAACAAAAAGGATAGCAGAGCACAAGTACAAAACTTATAACAATAATAATTTATTACCACTCTATATAAGTAATAACAATTTAATACCACTCTAGCCCAATATGCAAGTGAGCCGGGTATAACAGCCAAATGGGAAGAAGCTAAGATTATAACATCCAATATATGACAATGGCAAACTGAGATACACTAGAAATGTTAGAAATATTTGCAAAATCCCTTAAAGAAAACTGCATTAATAGCAAGAATGCCGACTCATTATCCACAGCTTGACAATTGCTCATAGACAATCTCCTAGAGGAAGTGGTTAATTTTCTCACTCCTGTAAGAATGTCGTGTGACTTTATAAAGACATGTTTATAAATTTTGTTTTAAGCAATGTTTATTTTGCACTAAGCTTGTTAATTTTAACATATAATTTTATTTTTGTTTATTTCTGTATTCATTTATTTATTCTATTCAAAACTATGATCGTCACAAGATCTATGTTCTGATTTATTTTATAACTGATGTTCTATTTTTATTTAACCTGAAGGAGGCCATTCAAGATAGCCGAAAACATTAGTTACATTAAAGAAATTGCTAGGAAAAAAAAGGTGTTGTGAAACATATTGTTTTACTAACAAGTTCTAGTTTACTGCACTTAGAATTATTGTTGCCTTTTCTTATTTTGTTATGTTATCATTCACTTGAGAAAAACAAACAAAAGTAATAGCTATTGTATTAAATTGACAAAAATTCTCATTCTAATTTGGAGTATAAGCTATTTTGATGTGGCTTGTTTGAATGGATGTTTGATTCACAGTAAATGCAGTCTATAATGTATTTTAAAATGACTGGCCCCGATTTGAATGTGAAATGTGGTGAAATGGTGCAAGCTGACACTTTAAAAGTTAAAAAGAAATGCACATGTAGGATAATTTGAAAATAATGGTTTTTTTTTTTAACTTTCTGCTCAGTGAGCATTTAAAAAGGTTTTTTTTTTTTTACTTGGATTATTTTGTTTATTGTTAATATATTCTTTTACCTGTTTGATTAGATTATGTCAAATTTAAAAACAAAATTCTGGCCCGTTTTCAAGACTGCCCACTAGGAAACTCCAGTCCCCTTTGAACCAGTCCACTTATGTTCTCTTAAACCAGTAGCAAATCCAGGATTTTGAGAATATTGGTGCTGCTCAAGTAAGATTGTGTGGTACCAAGGTACAAGTCCGTCATTTTCTGGAGAATATTGCTCAATTACCTTAGCTACTTTATTTTTCATTAGGTTTTTAAAATTGTTACATGGAAAATGGATAATTTTAAATAGATAAAATTGCTTACTGTGTATAAATTATACAAATTACAGGTACTTCTTTGGTACAATTCCAAAAGGAGGGATAGAAAAGACAAAATCATTCAATAATTTCTAGTGAAAATAAATGTAAACTGCAGTTATTTTGAATTTATGTATTATCTTTAGTCTTTGCTCCAGATTTTGACATGGTGTCCAAGAAATATCATTTTAAATTTTTCTGCTTGTACAAGATTACTTTCTGCCATTGAAGTTGTGTGATATATATTATTCAAATAGTAGTTCCAACCAGATTACAAAATTTGTAATGTTCAAACACAAATCTTAAATTTCAAATATAACTTAACAGAATAAGCTTTTAAGTTTCTTATTATTATTAATGTGAAGAAACAGTAAAAGTGTGTTAAATATTAAGGCATACTTCCAAGAGAACACGGAGACAGTATATATAACCCTAGCATTTAGATAGTCATCAGAAGCTGCCACCTTGAATATTTCCATCCATTTTGTCAGAAAAGCTTCATGGCAAAGAGAAATTTTTGGTAATCGTGGCTGCATCCTACAGAATTCTAGATTGATCGTGGAACATAAAGCTATATCATATTTGTGCTCAGTCTGTTTTCAGTTCCTGCTAGTGTATCAGAGAATGTGATACTTTTTCCCCAGTCCTGTATTGTTTAATCTAATGGGAATCTTGTAGATACTGCTTCTGTATCTTTCTGATTTGTTAGAATTCTACTAACAGTTGTGCTCCTTTTTATAAACTATTCATGACTTTTTCAATCTAGCCAATTCACTGACTTCAAAGAGTAAGAGAATAGGAATTAAGTGAAGCTTTTATTAATGTTACTTTTGTTTGTCTGCATGAAGGAATTGATGAGATTGAGAATCAAATTCTTGTTTGAGTTAAAAAATAGCATCACTAGGATACAAATTCTACATCTATCTTGGACAGATATGCAGTAAGTATGGGTATATTTAATCAATGCTCTGAAAGCTGACGGTTTGTAATATTCCCGTCATGCGACAACAAAAATACCATTAATAAAAGCTTCACTAAATACATATTCTCTTCCTCTTTGAAGTCAGTTACTAGTGAATTGGCTAGATTAAAACAGTCAAGAATAGTTCATAAAAGGAACCCAAGTAATTATCACTTGTTAGAACTCTACAAAGACAAGGTCCCAGAAAGATACAGAATCAGTATCTATAAGGTCCATGCTAAGTTTAACAATATGTGGCTGGAAAAAATCACACATTGTGATACACTAGCAGGAACCAAGGACAGATACTATGAACACAATAATACAGCTTTAGCATGTTCTGCCAATCAAGATGAATCCAGAATTCTGAAGGAGGCCGCCAGGATTATCAAAAATATCTTTTTGCCATTTCAGTCTTTTCTGACAGGAAAATATTTGATGCTGCAGCTTCTGGTTAATATCTAAATCTAGAGATAGATATAATCATCACCTTTTCTTGGAAGTATGCCTCAATTAACAATACTTAAGTACACTGTTTATTCACTTTTCATTTTCTTGATATTTTATTATTCTATTAAGTTATATTTGACTTGAAATGCTTTACAAAATTAAATTTTTCTTGTGTTAATGTTAACAAACTTGAGTAGCAGTTCCAATGTAGAATCCCAACAATGATCTACATATTAGATAAAAACATTAAACCCAAATAATTTTCACTGTTTCAAAGTGTTATTTCTTTGAATATTAAGGTACTATTTCTTTCATTACAGGCACACTGATCCATAATAGGATCAGTCAGCATGGGTTGATGATGCTAATTTGTACTATGATAAATTTTGAAAGACTGGGTCAAGTTCAAATCCAGATCTCCACAGCAATAGACATTTCTATTAATTATATATGCAAATTTGACTTGCTCCAAGATTGATCTTCTAACATCTTTCAACATAGCAGAATTTTAGTATTGACAAATAATAAATTCTACTAAAATTAAATAAAAATTGACAAAATTTAAATAATTCATCTTTTACTTAAAAGTTTTACATGTCTGGGATAATTTAACAATTCAAATACTTTTATGTATCATATTCTTACAAATTATACATAGTTAATATACAAACTTAAAATTTTAATAGCACATATAGGTGTAGGTTCAGCCCGTCTCTTCGAAATTTTTTAATGGGTAATGTTCCGAATACTGTTGAACGTGATTTTTAAAATAATCGTATTGTTCCTTCAAAATTTTTGGCATTTCGTCGTAAACTTCCATAAACATGTTGTCCACATGTGGTTTCTTCAGTTTCTCCGAACGAGCAAATGTTTGCATGACCTAAATGATATATTTGAGAATTAGTTGTTGATTATATTAATAAATAAATAAAAATTATATAAATTATTATATTTTTATTATTACTCAATTCACATTAGAGTTAACCTCTTCAGGGTCTGTACAGTAATTCCATCTGTGATTCCCTGACTTTCCCTGACCTGTTAAGGTCTCTACATTTTCCCTTTCCATTGTGTAATATTCATCCAATTCTATTTAAGACTTTTTTTTTATTAAAAAACACTTTATTCACTTACACAAAATTTTTTGTTTTTTGTAACATTAATTCTATGATGTAGCTAACTACATAATCGGACGCTTGTCACATTGTAAAATCAAATTTTCATAGCGAGGAAGCAAAAAATTCAAAATTTAAACAGAATAAATCGCGCATATTCTGAGGGACAGATCACTTATCACACCCTACTTTTGGTCCAGCACAGATACATTCAAGGTCATTACATTTCTTCCCATCCCTTCCTGAAACAATGGGAGGGTAAAGTTTTGGGGGAAAGCAGGTCGTTGTCGATAGTATTTTTGAAAACCAAACTTTAACTCTGGTGATATTTTGGTATACTTCCGAAAAATGTGTACTTCTGAAATTCCACAAGCCATCTGAAGATGAAAATTTGCTGTTAGAAAACATATCACAGTTCATCAATCCCCATCACAATTGGCAGGACTATTATCTCTACATACTGCATGTGGCCAGCAGCAAAGAATACAATGAATAAAAATACATGGATTCCATGAAGCCTGCCATGTGATCCAAAATTCTTCAGTGACAAAATGAACAGTTGAAGTTGACTATATTTGCAGCTAACATTTGATATTAATGTAGTTATTTTAATGTTAGCTGTAAATTTCCAAAGTACTGAAATTATGCTTTGCCAATTCCTGCCATATTTGATTGTGCATAAATCATTTTTATCAGCAAGAGAGATTGATGAAGCTTCTTCTCATTATTTGAACAATGTTATGCATACCTGGCAAAGGTCTAAATCACTGGAAATGTTGAGGCCAGGCATCACAATGGTTTTCCATGAATAATGACTCAAGATAAAGACTGATAGAATGATGACAAGCCAAGTTCCAGTATTATTATATCGTTAAGCTGACCGACGATTCTTTGCTTCCCCCCACGATATCAACTGACTGCAAAGGATTAATCAGATGTTGTGCAGATCAAAAAAATTGGGAGGGTTGTGTATGGGATGCAGTTGCAATTGTTTAAAGCAGTGTTTTTCAACCTTCTTGAATACGCGACCCCTTTAGAAGGTAAAAAATTCTGGCGACCCCCCAGGGCCATATTAAAACTATATCAGAAAATTAAATATGTAGTTTTTAAAATCACTTTCTGTTGAGACATAAATATTGATTGAAAAATAGTACTGTAAAATAAACAGATACAGCCTTCTCACTGAAATTGTAGGTTTTTTTATTGTAGTGTAGGACCTACAAACACTTGTCTTTTTCTTTTATCCATGACCCCTCCCAGTGTAAGGCATTGCAACCCACAGGTTGAAAAACACTGGTTTAAAGCATGAAACAATCTTTGTTATTAGAGAAAAGATAAGATGTAAATGAATAGTGTTGGTAGTTATCATGAATCAATATTTATTGGTTCAGGTGGCAGCACACTTGAAATATTCACATCAGAGTTGATGTGTTTGGTTTTCTTGAGCTCTATACAACCTACATCATTTGGCATTAGTCATTTCAGGCTTTTCTGATTCCTTTTAAATTTTTCCTTCCAATGATATAAGTTTCTTACATTTCTGCTCATATTTCCTTTGCAATTTCTTCTACTTGCACACTTATTGGCTTATAAGTTTACAAATTTTTTATGGTTATTATTGCTAAATAATAATGTAGGGCCTTTCATTCTGTACAAATCAACACCAAATTCAACGTCCTATCTCTTTGCAATCCAAAGTTATACACTTCCCAAATGGCAATGCCACAGTGTTCACATGCAACCACAAACCCCCTCACAACTGCACACCCCACTACCCACCAATTTAAATACAACCCTAAAATCAAAACATAAACCCTTAATCTAACGATTAAAATTTTGTTGGATAATCACCGAATTGGCAATATCCAAATGTCAGGATTATCATATATGGGATGAAGGAAAGTGAGGCAAATAGCTGCAGTGACAAACCAACCCGTTTATTTAATAAGTCTTACAATCTAGGGTGTCTTGTCTTCTGGAGGCTCTGGACTGTTTAGTCATTGGCTCTGGGGTGGTCAGTCGATGCTTCGATGATGTGGGAGGTCCAGTGACAAAGGGTGATAGCCGCAGTTCATACAGGATGGTGACCACACTTGGAGGTAGGGAAAAGTCTGGACAGTTGTTATCACTATCAGAGGCTGGGAGTCCTTGAGATCCAGGTTTTTAAAAGATTCTCTTCCCCAGATCTCTAGCCTTTGATTGGTCAGATTCCTATATCTAAGCAGATAACAGATCATTTCAGGCTACCAAAGGTTTGACACTGTGTTTTAATCCAATCAAGGAAAGTTAATCGCATCTTGAAACTCCTACTTGTATTTAATTGCTTCAAATTCTTATAAATCTTACACATAATCTCAGCACTGCATCTTCTTTTTTTCTCTCAATTAATAATTTTATTATTTTCTGACTTTTTATGAGCATTAAGAATCAAAGTCTGATCCCTTGATTTGACACTTTTATGATATTTTTAACATGTGAGCTTGAGTATCGCTTGGACCTCACATTTATAGCTAACGAGATATAAGAGCAATAAATCTTACCATTCTTTTGTTCACTCTAGTTTTCATACAAGAGCAACACATGGATTCCACAGTATTTGTGGATTCCCTGACTTTTTTGCTAAAAATCTTATTCTCTGATTTTCCAAGTTTGTATAGACCTTGCCTCTTTCAGCTAGTAAATTCCAATTAAATTTTCATTTTTATACAAAAATCTGCCAGAAAATTTATTCAAATTTGTTGCTATTAGACAAACAATGAATCTAAACAACTGATAACTAGTGAAATCAATTTATCATAAGCATTAATTTTAAGACTCTTTTTTTATTAAAATGTTATTGAACAATGCTATAAAAAATTTGCCATAACCAAAACAAATTTAATTTTGGACAATTTTAAGTTGATAACATTTACCATTTACTGTTTTGATAGACAGGGTAATTCAAAACATTTTATGATATATCTAATTTTGGAAGATCACGAAAAGATACTCTAAACGACTTTTAAGAATATCGCCAAAAAAAAAGACTGACTATCTCAAAATGGGAATTTACACAATTCTTAGAAATGTTTACAATAGGTGAGCTGATTGACATGTCATAAATTTTCATGTAGGTATTGCTAGTCCATTATCTCATTCAGCAACGATAACCACCTGGAGTTTTTTAAGTGTAAATGGTGAAGATGTATAGCATTTCATGGTTTGTTTCAATCTTCCCAAGCATGCAGAATGGGACTTTGTCTGGTGACTGAGTGGGCCAAACCTTCTATAAGGAAGCATTTACAAACATTACCCTGAAATATGAAATGTTCAACACTACTGACAAAATGGCTTTACATACTGGTTTAGGATGTTATCCTGATAATGTCTGTTGATCATTGTGCCCAACATAGGAACAAGTAACTTCCTGTGATCCAAAATGATTCCTGCCCAGAACATGATTGTCCAACTGAATGAGGAATGGAGGGTTGATGACATGCAACATGTCCAGACTGTCACTACATGCATTATTTATTGTTGGCATTATTGAAAGATCCATGCCATGTAACCTGTGTCCATCTGTACCTGGTCGTCATCAAGATCACCTGGCTCTCAGAGACACATCATACAATTGATTGCAAAGTGTACTCCCATGGCATTCACAAACTCAGATTACACTTTCTTGCAACAGAATTCTCAGATGGAACTTGACTTGTCATCATTCTATCAGTCTTTATCTTGAGTCATTATTCATGGAAAACCATTGTGATGCCTGGCCTCAACATTTCCAGTGATTTAGACCTTTGCCAGGTATGCATAACATTGTTCAAATAATGAGAAGAAGCTTCATCAATCTCTCTTGCTGATAAAAATGATTTATGCACATTCAAATATGGCAGGAATTGGCAAAGCATAATTTCAGTACTTTGGAAATTTACAGCTAACATTAAAATAACTACATTAATATCAAATGTTAGCTGCAAATATAGTCAACTTCAACTGTTCATTTTGTCACTGAAGAACATAAATATAGATTAGGTACATGTCTCAATTACAATCATTAGACTGAGAACTTATATCAATTTAAACTTTATACCAAAAGTTATTTTAAAAAAAGAATTTTGTATAGTAATTTGAACAAAACATACCTGTTTTTTTGTTTCTTCTTTCCATGCTTTTTCTTTTTCATCATCCCACCATCCTTGATTAATCATATAATTTCTTAAACGAGATATCGGATGATCCTTCTGGTGCCAAAATCTAACTTCGTCTACTGACCGGTAAGCTGTGCTGTCATCTGAAGTACTGTGATGTCCAATCCTTAAATATATGCAATGATAAAATAAATATTTCCTTTTTTACTATTCATAAAATAATTTTAACAACAATAAAAATCATATTTACCTATATGTCATAGCTTCTACAAGAACTGGACGTTTTTCTTCGACAGCTAACTGACGAGCTGCCTTTGTAACATTGTATACACCTAATGTGTCATTCCCATCTACTCTTATAGATGCAATACCATATCCTGGCCCTCTAGCAGCTTTTAAATATGATTATTTAGAAAATTATAATATGCAAAAAATAATTTTATCTATAGTTATACATACCTATGCCATCTCCTCTGTATTGTTCGTGAGTAGGAGTCGATATAGCATATCCATTATTCCGACTTGAGAAATAAAGAATATATTGTTATATAATTATGTAAATATGCTAAATGTACAATAATTATAACATACCAAAAAAATATAATTGGACATTCAAGAGTAGCCGCAAAATTAAATGCGGCATGTGCATCACCTTCACTGGATGCTCCTTCGCCAAAATAGCATACTACACACAATCCATTTTGTGCTCTCTTAAAAGCATATGCAGCTCCGACCGCTGAAAATGGGTAAATTTAATTCAATTTTATAAGTTTATTTTTAATAAGCAAAATACCAAAAATAAATAAATAAAATACAATTCCCAAGCAAACATACGGAATAGTTTAATTGTTCTGGAATTGATCCTGAAATTATCAAACTTTTAATATGTCTATAATATTTGTCGATTGTTAGTGTTTACACACTAAATGTCATAAAGATATTTGCATAAATTACTTTGTTTAAAATGCTTAAACTTTGTAAGAGTTGAACAAAAGTATGGAATTATTTTTTTATTATTGCTATTGCTGATTTAAACATCAAATACTACATTAGACAGTGGTGTTTGATGACTCAATAATCAAAAACATGAGAGAGAATTTTCTGCATATTTTTCAATTGTTGACACATCAAACATTATTTTTATTCATAAAATAATAATAATTTTGTGAACAAAATTTTTCTCTTCTTTTTTTCTAGTTATTTGTTGTTTGTTTATTGCAGTTCATTTTTTTCAAAGCAATATTTCAAACAGCATTCAGATTACGTCAAAGACTTCTCAAAAACAAACAAATTGATTATCTTAATATTTTNTTGAGTGATAACCTATTTCTGCTAGCCTTGTCCTTGCCATAGTGTCCGATATATTAATACCTGTTGAAAGTGTTTGGAATGTTCTGAAGAAAATAATGACTAAAAAGAGCTACAACCTAGAAGTATTAAAAAAGACAGTCCTGTGGAATCATGTTTACAAGTTGATCTAGAACTGTGTAAAAAACTTATTTCTACAATACCATAAAAAATTATGATTGTAATTAGGGCAAAAGCAGCCCTGTAAAATATTAATTGTCAGTATTCTACACTTTTGCTTAATGTTTTTCAGGATTCCATACTTTTGTTCAACTCTTACTTTCTTTAAAATGCTGCAATTTATGCAAATAGCTTTATAATCATTTTATGCAAATAGCTGATTCATCATCACCCAGAGCAAACCGCTCAACCTAAACAGGTGAAATTTGGTACACAGTTAGGGTACGTCATGGAAATGCACACTAAGAAGGGATTTTCCAAAATTCCCCATCGGGGGAGAGGGAGAGCATGAAGGCTAAACCAGAAGAACGGTTTCTACTGTAATATTTTAGATGCAATTTTTTGTTTTTAACTGCGTTTTAGTAGGGTACGCCATGGGAATGCACACTAACAAGGAATTTGTCGAAATTCCCCAGCGGGGGGAGAGGGAGATCATTAAAGCTTAACCAGAAGAACGGTTTCTACTGTACTATTTTTGATGCGATTTTTTGTTTTTAACTGCGTTTTAGTAGGGTACACCATGGGAATGCAGGCTAAGAAGGGATTTTTTGAAATCCCCATGGGGGGAGAGAGAGCATTTCATTTCAGACATTGTTATAAATATTTTTATATATTTCAATTTTTTAACCAAATATTCGAACCACTTTAAATTTGAATTTCTTTCTGCTTATTGGTTCAATTATAGAACGATTGTACATGTTCCAGAAAATTCATCAAATTGAAACAGTTCGTTTGATTCTTGGCAATTCTCATCATTTTCAGTGGTAGGTGTTATATAACAATTACTATGGTTGTTGAAATACTGAATATAAATAGGGTTTGCTTGCAAATCCTCCGCGGGCGAAGTCGCAGGTAACAGCTAGTACTTTAATATGTCTATTATATTTGTCAATTGCTAAAAGTTCAATAATAGTTTTGATGGTTTGATTATTTCAGGATTAAAATAATTTTCCACAACAATTACAAAATAATCCAATATTTTTCTCAAGGGGTTTATATATTTAGTTAATGTGAAATAACATCAAGTAGAAGGTTAGTATTGATTTCTGTAAAATTTAAAGTATTCAAAAGTGATAAAATGTTTTCATTTTTGGCTCTTTCTACCCTATGAGCACTAAGAGTTTTTTCTTCTCCATATCCATCATGGATTTTGCCAGACTCACAGCGGGGGGTAGCTTGGTAGTGAGAAGGGAGCCTAACATATCTAGGACAAGCTACTCATAAAATAATTCTTGGAATTACTTGTCCAGAATCAATCTCAGATCTCATAATAGTAGGTTGACACCTTAACCACCTTGATCATCCAAATGTCACCATTACTTTATTTACAAAGTACAATAATTAGGATAGTTTGAAAAATTCTATTTCAATTCAGCTTCTCATTTAAAAATAGGCCTCATTACAGAAAACATCTTTTAAATATTTTAATTAATATAATTCTATATAACAGCATTACTTTATATAATTGGAATTAAATAGAAATCAAAATATGCTTAGAAGTGATTATGATAATTAATAAAAATATATATTAGAAATTGATATGATTGATCTCTAACTTGATCAAGAAATTAATTCTTGTTCAATTAATTATGGAGGCAAATATTTATATTCTTTGATTCAGCACAATTTACCAACAAGAATTGGGAAATGGCAAATACCAAACATTTACCGTGAGTAAACCATCCACGCTGCTCAGTATTCGCCAAATGTTTGCTTAGCATTCAGTGAATAGCAGATGAGCGGACGTGCTCTTGCATTATGTTCATATAAACGTAACTTCTTGTTATTCTGTTTATATTAATATTTTATTTTAATTACCTTGAGGCATTTGAGTTGCCAATGTTGAAGATATAGTTACAAAATTCAAATCTCTTGCACCATAATGCACTGGCATTTGTTTTCCTTTCCCTATGTCGCCACAATTACCAAAACATTGATTCATAAAATTATCAAGAGTAAATCCCCGCCACATCAAGACTCCTACAAAGTGAAAATATTCTAATTAGTTCATTTTATATTATACTAAAATTGAAATAAATATACATGCAAATAAAGCCACAGACATTGAATTATTTACATTTATTATTAAAGATATAAAAAAAGTAATTTTAAGCATATATTTTCTATAATGTTTGCATAGAATTGTAATAACTATAAAGGTCATACCAGCTTCTCTATATTGTCCAAATACTAAATCTCCAGGATCAAGAGCAGCTGCACTACCAAAATGAGTTCCTTCCTCTCCGTAATTTGTCATATAGAATGAAATTCTACCTTGACGCTGAGATTCATATAAAATGCGATCCATTGTATTTAAAGTTGTCATACCTCTATACATTTTGAGTACAGTCTCTTTGTCAAGCTTAAAAATAATTTTTTTAATGAAATATTTTTAATTAAAAATTTTAATTATAAATAATTCAAATACCTTTGGATCTAATTCTTTATTTAATATATTTCCTTCCCTGTTCATTAGCCTATAGACTGGAATTCCATCATATATATCTGGTTGTACAAATTCAATAGTTTCTGTCCATCTTGATTTTGCTCCTAAAAATTCTGGACGGTCAACTTCGTCTAACTTCTGAACTTGTTGAGCAGAAGGCTCCTACATATAAAATTTCATATTCTTGATATTATTTTCAAAATATTATTCAAAAATCCTAATATGGTTTATCATTGTAGTTTTTAATAACTCCAAAATTAAATTACAGGATAATAACAAATTACTTCATTGAAATAAACAATATTGATGTCTGGTTGGCCGAGCAGTTAAGATGGCAGCCTACCACTCTGAGTACCCAGGATCAAATCCAGATTGGTCCTAGGAATTTTTCAGAGGAAGTTCTTACAGCTATATCAGGTTCTGTCCCTCACCACAGGCCTTACCAAACCCATAATGGGCTTGCCAAAAGAGACCCTCTTAGTACTCACAGAACAGAGTTTTAAAAATATATAAAATAAAATAAACATCTATAACAGACCACAGTTACCTAGCAACTGCTTTGTGTTGACAATATTAAAACATTTAAAGTTAATTCAGCCCGATGATACACTACAAACTCAAAAGTGCTTGCCAATATGCCAATTCTATATTGTTTACTCAAATAAAGTAGTTTTATTTTGATTAAAAACTAAAATTTAAATAAAAAATAGCAATTCTGGAAAATTTCACCCAAATATTTTGTTCCAAAATAAAACCAAACACTACAGTTTTAATATATTATGTTGAGTTATGCCAAAAATGTGTCATATACTTGTACAATTAAAGGAATGAAAGTGATTTAACAGGAATTAAACAGTATATTTAAACAGTTTAACAGTTAAAATTAATATCATTGGTATTCAAGTTTCTCTTCACTAAAAACTACATCAATACCAGATGAGTGAAGTGAGTATGCTAATGAGAGGGACATTCTTTTGCATCTGTAAAATTATATCATATTTGATGGCAACTTGCAACACTTATTTTATTTTTATCATTAAATTCTTTTCTATCAACAAGTTCCCAGAACACGTTTTTGAATTCTACCACACGTGGGTGTATGTTGTGGCAGCCATTAAGATACTGCTAGTTGTTAGTATAGGTCTGCAATTTTTAGTTTTTCATTGGTGACATACATTATAAAACCAGTTCAGGTACTGTACATATTGTGCAGTGATTGGCTTCCTTAATAGCCAGAGAGTTCTTTGTAAGTGGTTTGAAGCCATATGTACAGGAAAACATGATGCATCGAGATTGTCCATGTATTCAATCGTTCCAGTTGCATTTATTTACACGTGATGAAAATTTAAGAAGAGAATGGATAACCAGCCATGAATGTACAGTACATCCAGCTAGATAAATAATTTTTCCATCATTAGACACACAAGTCCATACAGAATGATTACATGCAGGTAGTGTTTGCGATGGTTCTACATTTGTCTCAAGGACACAAGTATTTTGTGACAATTTACTAATTAATTAAAATTTCACCTACTTTACCACTTGAAAAATAATTATAAGTGTGAAGACTCCTATAATTAAGCATTTCTTGGTAATCATAGGCTTTACTTTTAAAGTAAGATATTCAAATGTAACTGGATATTCCAAAGGTGGCCATTCTCTTATGTCATTATTCCACAATTTTATAATACTAATTAGCAAAAATGACCGTCCATCTGAAAATAAATTAGAAAATACAAATTTGTACCAGGAACTATGCAAAAATCTGAAAACTTCGCATTAGACTTAATTCTATTATGATCTGTAAATATTTTGGACTATTTTTATGAATTAAATGGCGATTATATATATTTCCTGGTAGATAATAACTGGAATATTAGTAAAATTTTAGAAGCAAATTTTGCCAATTATTTTCTAGAAACAAAACAAAAAATAAAATTAGTAGTAAAAACAAGTAATTTCAAAATCAATTATATTCTCAATTCTATAGTTCTAGTTACCTAGGTCTTGTAGTATCTTAATGGTGGCACCACAGTATGGGAAAATACACGAACCTTCTCTGGAAACTTGTGGATATATTCTTAGAAATATACTTTCCAAGTTTCACTAAATTTATATATTTAATAATTACATCTTCATTATACTATTCCTGCTAATTTGCAATTTCATATTGCTCTGCTGTGTCATATCCTGTATTATAAGCATGCATTTTGTATACAGTTAAATTTAGTTAATTTTAATTTACTCATATCTAATGTTTTGCTGTAGCATACAATATAATTTAATATATTACATTAAAATTTACTACTACTACAGATTTATTCTTTAAAAGAAAAAGACTTTCTAGAAAATTACATTCTTAACATTTAACACTTTTATTGCAGTAAACATTCAAACGTCAATGAAAAATCAATAGTATATTTTCTATATCTCGATGCTTGTCCTTTAGACGTTTTTTTAATGTTCAGCAAAGTAAAAATTTTAAATTTCATATGTTTAGCGCATTACAAATTATGAACAATATAATATATATTAACTTTCATAATTACAATGTAATATATCAAACTTATTTTTATTTCTTAGTCAAAAAATTATCTTATTTGAAAGCAGTATTTTAATTTTATATAGAAATACCAATTTACATTATAAAAAATCTTATTCAAAAACTTTTTATAGTTTTTTTAAAACAAAAAATAAATGTTTCTTCATTTGTATTACCAGCATTAATCATAATTCTTAGAAATAACATCTACATATAGTTACTGCTTTAGTGGAGCGCATGCATTCTAAAAAAATCCCTAGCATTCTTAAGCATTTTCAACTCATCCTCGAGATTCTGAGGACGAGAGGGTTTGAATGCACTCTGATAAAGCAGAATTGTACATTTATTATCAGTGTACTAAATTATAAATAACTTTCTTACTAGTTAAATTATTATGTATATAACACTCAAATTGGTAAAATAACTCCTAATCAAGAAAACTAAAACTGCTGTAAGAGAAAAACTCTAAGCATACTCAACCTTCCGAGTATAAAGAACTTTATTGAAATAAGCGTCAATACAATCGCCACTAAACTACTGATATAAAGCATTCTATTAGTTTTAAACCTGACGATGACTGTTAAAAATGAAAGAAAATGTTTGTTTTTCGTTTAATTAAAATATAATTCACACTGGTTATCGATAATTACGTATGTTACTAACATCAATAAGAGTCAAAAACATCGAAGCTCATTTTTTGAGGTTTTGTTTGATTTTTATCTCCATTAATGTAATGAATAAGCAGAAATTAGTTTTCCAGATGTGAGACAAATGGAAGTCTTTTTAATAAAAAGCTATCACGAAGAAGACACTTTGTAATGCCGAAAACATTTGAAAGAAAAATATATGTTTGAACTTTGGATATATATATTTTCATTCATAAATCTCACAACCAGAAAACTGATTTCTGTTCATCAATAACATGAAAACATTGTATACCATTTTACAAATTCAATACTCCATTAAAGCAATTATGAATTTTGTTAATCTTGTTATCTGGACTTTTGATATGTTCAGTTTTAATTGCTTAGCTTCTGATGTTTATCTTCACTTTCATATTGCTAAAATCAATGAAAATAATGGCCACAGAACTAAATCATCATCCATCTAGAAAATTTGATTAAACTGACAATGTAGTCATGAAAACAGTATGTTAACTGTTATGAGACATGATTTTTGAAGTATATAAAAGATCTGATGTAAATAATCCAATCCAATCCAATCTAGACAATATAATCAGCTGACTGACTGTATATGAATGAAATAAACAATTTCAATATAAATCAAAGATAAAAATTTGGTTTTTTTATCCCATACACAATATTTAAACATAAATGAATTAATATATCAACGCTCACGCTTGCAGAAGTGCAAAATTTAGCCGTTAATCTTCTGTTTATCCGGAGAAAAGATCGAAGCATCACATGTGCCATATTGACTCGCCACTCATTTCAGCAACAGCAACGTGACGTCACGATTTTAATCAATTACGAATGCTCTAAATTTATATTGTCGAATCTCTAATATATTAATTATTATTAATAATAATATTTAGTATGTTAATAAATAATTAAATCGTAATAATATCTAACATTTTAATATAAATAAATAGAAAGAGAAATAACTACATTTGGCAACACTTAAGCGAAATGTTTTTTTTACATGTGTTTTCGGGCATGTGTACACTCGTCCCTTTAATCTTAGTTTAATCAGAAGATTAAAGTTAAATGTAAAATAACTGCTTCGTGATGGTTGAAGCTTGGTATATGGATGATTCTGATGCCGATCAAAGGCACGAACATCATTTGAATCCTAAAAAATATGTTAATTTAGAAGAATTAAAATCTAAAACTGGAGTTTTATATTGGCCAGTAAGTTAAAATTTACGTAAAATTATATATATACGATTTCGTATTAAATCTCATAATTATCTCCTTTTAGATAAATGTGGATAATATAGAAAAAGAAGGTAAATTAGCTGAAATCAAGAAGGACAGAGGTTATAATTATGAAGATATGTTGATATGTTCCAAAGAAAAGTTGCCTGATTATGAAAACAAGGTCAGCTTTGCACAATATCACGACTTCTTTGATAGGTTGATTTCTTATGTAATTAAAAAAAATTTAATTGTCATTGTTCAACTTCTACTAGATTGATATAAACGGTAATTACACACCATAAAAACCTTAAGTCACCAGTAAAAAAACTTTAAATATACTTAATTTTCAGACAGACATTTTAGATCTTCTACTAAGAACAACTTCAGGTCTCTTTAAAGTCTACAGCAGGGGTTCCCAACCTTTTTCTTCCATTGACCCACATATAGAAACTATTCTTTTCAGTTGACCCCCTTAAAATTTTGCTATTTCCCAAGATTTTGCATAATACCTTGTATACCAAGCAAATTATTAAATCAGTTAATTAATTTTCCATATGATTGTTTTTGTTATTTGAAAACTACCTGAAATTTTTGGAAAAATACAATAAGTATCTGGTATTTCCATCCATCCTCAATTGACCTCCAGGAAGTCCATATTAACCCTGTTGAGAATCACTGCTCTACAGCTCTTATAAGATTCCAACAGCCAATTGGAAATTCAATTTTGAAATGTTAGAGACTTGAAGATGAACTTAGTAGATCAAAAATAATTGAAAATTAAGTATATTAATATTACAAAACACCTTTCTCACTTTTTCTAGCAAATTTTAATTAAACTAATGTTTTTAGCTATTTTGAATAGCCTTACTCGGGTTTAATTAATCAAAATTATGTTAAACCTGAGGAAGGCTATTCAAAATAGCTGAAAACATTAGTTCGTTTAATTAAAATTTGCTAGAAAAAGTGAGAAAGATGTTTTGTAATATTATCTAGAAGTTCTAGCTTACTGAGCATAGAATAAGTATATTAAAGTTCTTTACTGGTGATTTTTATATATTTCTATGGTATGTAATTATTGTTTGTCATTTATTATTAAATTGATAGGTAATATGTAATGATAGTTAAAATATGCTTATAGTTAGATATATGTCTCTGTTTTCTCCTATTTTTAACCATGAAAAACAGAATAAAATTTTAAATACTGCTATTTTATAGGTTCTCTAATGCAATATAATTAATTTAAAGCTCAATATATAAATAATCTTTTAGCCATAAATGAAGCTCTGAATGAGGCTGTTGGATCAGAGCTGTAGACTGTGTCCATAAGAGTAAAAAAGTCAAGAAAACTGATGGTTTGTGTGTGACCTTTTGTGAGATATAGCCCCCCAGAAATTGGCCTATCTGGAATCTTGAAGATCCTCAAAAATGAGGTAAAATTTAAAAATGAAAAATCCAGAATTATATCTCAAAACAATGATAAAAATTAATTATTTTTCCCTTTTGCTAGAGATGACTGAAGTTCATAAAACACAAAAATGCAATAGCACTAACTACTTCTAGAGCATGATTGAAATCATGCTGTGTGCTCCATTAAATCTATCACATGTTTAACAAGTATCCCAGTCAAAAACTTTTGAGGCAAATATCTCACCAATGGTCACAGTTAGATTTAGTGTTCCTTTGGCTTTTTGGATCATCTAAACTGATCCAATCCCTCTAATTTACAATTCCAATTTTACCAAATGGATTTAAGTTGGTCTATTTTTAGATCCATTTTTCACTCTCTTAAAAATTGTCCCAGTTTCAGCGAAAAATAATGTGATCACACTATTTTTAGTCCATATTTTTAACTTTTATTCATTCATTAATTTCATAATAAGTAGTTTGGAAATTTTAAAGATGCTTTTTTCCAATTATATTAGAATCATCCATGGAAATCTATCAGAATTTATAATAATATGATCTACTATTTAATCATAGCAGAATAATTTCTGAGATTTAAACTTTATTTTACATCAATATATTTCAGTGGTGATATGCAGAAAATATAGAGATATAGTTATACAAATAAAATTTTGAAAAAAAAAAATAATAATAATAATTTTATAAATTTTGCAATGGAATTGTTTTTTTATTTTTATTTATATTTAAAGCTCAAGTTTTTTAATATTCTGTTCGTATAAGCAATTGTCGCTTGTTTGAAAACTTTAAAAACGAAATATTCTATGTTGAATTTTGCTTATTAAAAAAACTTTATCAAAATATTTTTAAAATTATTTTAAAAAATAAATAATTTAGAGAAAGAAAAATGAAAACTTGATATGACTCCTTAAGTAAACATTATTGGTTAAGAAATACCTTTATTTCACTTAGGATTTATGAATCAGAAAATATATACAGATAGAGTTATGTAATCCATTTATGTTTATAAAATATATAAGTATATAAAAATTACATAGAATTTAAATATCTTGATCTTAGAATAATTTGCTTTTTTCTTACTTTTATTTTGATTTTCTATTTAATATTTTTTTTTTTAATAAACAGAAATTAAAGGAATAGTTTTTTCTTATTCAAATTCATTACTTATTCTACAGATCCAAAATGATGATAAAATATTTCTTACGTGTTAAATTTTTATAAACAGAATTATATCAGTTTAAAGATTAGCCTTTTTATATATGATAAAGCCAGACTTGCCACTCAATCACATCGCCACTTTATCTCCATAGAACAAACCAGTCCATTTTGTTATAGGTAAACAATACCAGATTGCAAATAGTTTTTGGCATATATGTAATAATGTTAACAATAATAATAATAAAAACTTTGAAAAATAAATTTTATTTAGAAAATTTAATTAAAATTAAAATATTTTTGTGTGTTAAATAAAAACTAAAAGAATGTCGTGTAATTAAAATTAGATGTATATTTTTACGTAATAAATGAAATATTTTAGAAAATAAGCAGAAAATGAGCAATTATTTATTGTGACATTGTCACAATGCTATGCTGCAATTTTTAATCTTCTTTGAATTATCCAATACATGTAAAACAGTACTTAGACTTAGTCTTGTAGGCTTTATAAAGAAGTTTTGAGATTTAAAAACATTATTGTAATACAGTAAAATACTATATTTATTTATATTTTTGCAATAAATGAGAGTACAGGTAACCCCCGTATAACACGGTAGTTACAGCTATTTAAACTGATCTCTTAGATCAGTTTAAATAGCCTTAGATTTAATTAATTTTTAGATTATTATGATTATAACTGTATACTAAACAATGCAGTTTCACAAATAACGATGGTTTTATGTTCAGAATTTATTTAAGTAATCAATTCTTTTAGTTTACATTTCTTCATAATGAGAAGTAAGTCATATTATGTTCTAATATGATTATTTAAAATATATTATTAAATCAGATTAACCTGTATGATCTTATTTATTTAAAATTTAAGATATTTTAATTAATTTATCATACAGTAATTAAAAAAAAAATTTATATATAAAACTTCTTTTATTTAGATTTATGTGTAAATAATCTATCTTTTAATGCAGTTAAAAATATTTTATAATGAGCATCTTCATGCTGACGAGGAAATTAGATTAGTATTGGAAGGAAGTGGGTACTTTGATGTACGAGACAATGAAGATAAGTGGATTCGGATCAAGGTAACAAAGGGAGATTTGTTAGTGCTTCCAGCAGGAATTTATCATCGATTTACTTTGGATTTTGATGTAAGAAATTAAATATTTCTTGTCAATTTACTATGCTTTCTTGTTGTTAACATTATTTTTTGTTAGCTAAATATTTAATACCATTTATTAATATTCCTTGAAAAACTAACATCTTCATTCACTTCCTCTCCTTTTTTCAGTAAGCCAACATACTGTTTCTGTTTAAATTTGGTAGTTGTCTTTTTACCTTTGCTAATTGTTTAATTAGTTTATAATTATGTAATTTCTCCTCATATTAAAATCTTAATAGTATCAATAAGAATGGTGATACCAACAACAAAGGAAGAATTATGTGCTCAATAGGTTCAAAACAATTTTATGGAAAACAGTGATACAGACAGCTTATAAAAAAGTGATTTTTGGACAAATCACTCTTTTATGCATAACATATTGATAGGCTTAAATTGCTATTCATTTTCCAAACTCATACTTTTGTGTTTTTTCAACCAACAAACGACTTGAGCTATTAAACAGTGGTATTTTTTTTTACCAGTATTTAGCTTCATAACATCAGTCTGTCAAAAAAGGAACCACCATTTATTCACTTTGTGTACCAGAATACAAACTTTTTGATGACCGATCTTTCTTTGTAGGCTACTTGGCCATCAAAATTAAAACATCCTTTCAAAAGACAGAAAATTATCTAATTAAAAATACAAATTTAAAAATTGGAATTTTTTAAAATATACCTCGTACAAATTTATAATATTTATTTTCAGATAAATAATAAATTATGTATCATTCGGTCTTGTAATTCAATAGAACAAATATAATAGTGAAAAAATTACATCAGTTTTGTTTTTTTCTAAATCTGTCACTCATCACACACTTAACACATGTATTAATGAACTAATTTAAAATTGAAATAAGTCTAAGACAAATTAATAGCTGTAATCTTCAGTGTTGTATTTTAATAAATTTTTGTTTTAATTTTCTATTTTCAAAAATGTAATTTTAAAAATACGGCTTATAATCAGAATATAAATATCAAAAAATTCCTGTTTAAATCATACTCTTCTGGTAATTGCTATTTTTATTAATTATTTTTTGATTATGATTAAATAAATAAAGAATAATATTGTTAGTAAGATATAATTGAATGCATATATGCAATTATTTCTTATATTCCATATTAACAATATTAAAAGAAATAATCTCTGATTACATCTTTCATATTTACTTTTTAAATTACTTATGTAATTATATTGTAATATCTTTTAAATAGAACTACATTAAAGTCAACAGATTATTCTGTGGTGAACCAGTCTGGACTGCAGTTCCAAGACCAGCCGAAGAACATCCTGCTAGAGAGAAGTATTTGAAAGCTTTGCATTGTGAAATGGCAAAATAAACTTAATTAAGATACATTTACTGAAATATGCTCCAGTGTATTCATATATAAACAGTAAATTTCTAATATTTTTATATTAAGTTGAACAGAATAATCTAGACAATTCTGATGATTTTATAAAAATATTTTTATTTGTATTTTTCTAAACATAAATACTGTATTATTGTTAAGAAATTATATCTGCTATATATGGAATGTTTTAATAAAAGAAATAAATTTGCATTTGAAATAATTTTACATTAATAGCATGATAAATTATGATATCAAATGTATATTTTTTCTTTTTCTATATATAGAAAATATACATATAGAAAAATTAATTTCAATTAGAAATTAATTTTTAATAATATACTCCATTTTAACTCAAAGAATAACTGCTACAGTATATTTTCAATCACACACACAACCTTGAACAGCAACGAAAAAGCTTATTCAACCTAAAAACTAACATTTTTTATTAGTTTTAATGATCTTTATCAGGACGATGTTGCACAAATGGAACATGTACAAATACTAATGGACACTGAACATAAATAATTGAATGTCAAATATGTTTAAATATAAAAATAAATATTTATGTTCTAAGTCTATTAGTATTTGTAAATGTTCCATTTGTGCAACATTATCCTGATGAAGATCATTAAAAATGACTAAAAATGTTAGTTTTTCCAGCTGAATAAACCTTTCATTGTGTTATTGAGTCTTCCATTTTAACAATGTAAATAAATAAACTACTAAAGTTGAGATTGCCAAAAGCATTTAATTAGAACCTATGATGACTTGAACTAAATTGTCAAAATATTTTTAATTAAATAACCTTGACTTTAGCAATTTATTTACCTATATTGTTATTGTAGTGGTGTCAAGTTTTGTGAATTTTTATAAAATTATATAAAAATGGAATATCATTGTTGTTTTACTTTTGCTTTTTTACCACTTCTTTTTGCTCTTAAAACTTTTATAAATTTGCGACATTTATATCCTCTCCAAACAGACTGAACCATACGAGCAGCCTGATGCCTTTTCCTTCTCTCTTTGGCAATTCTTTCTTGTTTTTCTTTTAAGTCTCTCTCTTGCATTATATTGTCGTATTCTTCTTTAATCGGCTTCATTTCTAATTTCAATAATCTGATTTGTTCATTTAAATTTCTAATTTCACTTTTAATTTTTTTGCATTTATCTTCTCTTCCAAACATTTGTTTGTCATAATCATTTATCAGATTCTGAAGATTAGTTCGGAGCTTTCGATCTTTATCTCTGAGCCGTTTTTCTTCTTGTAAAAATTTAAAATTAACTTCTGCATATAGACTCATCATAGATTCAATTGATTTTTGCAAATTCTGAGATTCGATTAAATGATTTTTATATACTTCATTAATCTCCTCTTCACATGCATTCTTTATCCATGCTTTCTCTTCTGCTCCAACTTCACTTACATAGTTAATTTCATCATCTAATGCTTTCAAAACACATTCATGTTGTGAAGTAGATTCTGTTTTATCTTTGATATCTTTCAACTGTTTCTTTAATTCTTTAATACTCTTCATATTTCTGTTAATCTTATGATTTAATAACATCAGACGGTTTTGTTTTTCCGCATCCTCCTCGGCCGTCCTTTTAATCCTTTCTTTCCATAAATCTACTAGTATTTTAAAACTTAGACAAAATTCAAGAAAAATTCCAAAATTTTCTATTGAATAATTATTAGAATATAATAGGTTTTGCACATATTCATTCTCTATTGGAATTCCATTCAATACTCTTTGCATATTCTTTGATAGCTGTTTCACTTCTGAATAATCCAAAAATCTTTCATTCTCATCCCAGCAATCAATCATATCACTCCAACTCTTTCTCACATCTGGCATCATTTTTAAATGAAGTGAAGAATCTTTTCTCTTCAGATTCAAAAAATGACTTATAATATGCATTTTCAGAACAGCATTTTCTAATATATTATCCATCTTTGAAGACGATAACGTAATTCTAATCCTTTTGTTGTGTATTAAACTTGAGGTTCCCTAGGCAACCAAATAGAAACAAACGAAATTAATAAAATATGAATGAACATTCATATTTTGTTAATTTCTAATTTGCCGATAAAGTTGAAAAGTAGACAAAAGACATTTTGAAAATAAGCATTTCAATTATTATAGTAAAAGCCAAATTTTTAATGTCTTATGTATTTTCGAATAAATATCATATTGAAACCTTATATTCGTAATAGAAAGTTAATAACAATACAGTATAGGCCAAGTATTGTTTCTACATAATGCAATAATTGCGGTTCTGCGGTTTATCTATTGTTAATTTCGAAGTTCTCTACGTGTTAAACACTTGAAGAAAACCGGGAAACTAGGCGTTAAACCCGTTGGTGAGGCACGAACCTGCGATCAGTACTCAAAGGTTTTAAAATTATAAAATCTATTTATAATAGCTTTTTATCGAGGTTTATATAAGCGTGGATACGATCCCATGATCATTTGCGTCAGTGGCCATTTTGGAGCTTATCGATATTGTATACCCCACACTAGTTTCCTGTGTGAGTCGGTTATGTTTAAGTGCTCAAAAAGTGAAAGAATGGGTCATTGTGTGGCATTAAATCGTAAAAATAAATCTTCGGATGTTAGATTATTTAGATTTCTTGCAGATAAGCGAAATGCAAGGTTGGTGAAGAACCAACCTTGCATTTCGCTTATCTGCAAGAAATCTAAATAACTGCAGACGAGATAAATGACAGTGATATGAATATTCTAAACTGGGTACAATTGCAGATGTAAATGACATTGTTGGGACCTTAACAGAGCCGTGGAGCATGCCCGTAGGAGCCAAAAAGTCAAAGGAACCATATCTTTACATGTGACCTTNGGTCACATGTAAAGATATGGTTCCTTTGACTTTTTGGCTCCTACGGGCATGTTCCACGACTCTGTTAAGGTCCCAACAATGTCATTTACATCTGCAATTGTACCCAGTTTAGAATATTCATATCACTGTCATTTATCTCGTCTGCAGTTATTTAGATTTCTTGCAGATAAGCGAAATGCAAGGTTGGTGAAGAACCAACCTTGCATTTCGCTTATCTGCAAGAAATCTAAATAACTGCAGACGAGATAAATGACAGTGATATGAATATTCTAAACTGGGTACAATTGCAGATGTAAATGACATTGTTGGGACCTTAACAGAGCCGTGGAGCATGCCCGTAGGAGCCAAAAAGTCAAAGGAACCATATCTTTACATGTGACCTTCGCGAGATATAGTCCCTCGAAATCAGCCGCACGCGACTATGCCAGTTTTGAGTAGACCATTTGACTGTGTCATGGAGTATTTGATGGTATACTTTTAGGGGGTGTGGGGCTCACCCCCACGCGGACGCCGAGGTTCGAGCGACTACATGCTGTCCATTGGTCAATGCTTGCTATCGCTTGCCTTGACCGACGCGAAGCATGGAGAATAGACAGTACCGTGTTTCCCTGAAAATAAGATCTAGCGCATCTCTGGGAACAAAAATTAATATAAGACACTGTCTTATTTTCAGAGAAACAGGGTAGTACTGGTTCAAGGTAAATACTGTGTTTGATCATGGATTTATTTGTTACAGGCGTTGATCGCCGTGCCTATCACTTAACTTGCAAGCAAGCAAGATGGCGACCGGAACTCCGCGTTTTCACATTTGGACAAAGAGTCGCATGTTGGACTTTTCATTATTCTTTACATATAAATATCGTTAGTTTGTCTGATCACCGTGCTGGGCTGTCTGTTAAACACGCGACACGCTTAGCGGAGCACGCAGCGTGACTCCAAATAGCCCCTGGAAGAAGGCTGTAGTCTGATTTCGGGGGCTCTCTTAGTGTCAAATATAGAGGTATTGTTCCTTAGACTTTTTTGATATTATTGCATCACATTAGGAAATGCCAAAATTGGTGATAAAATTAATGCAACTACTAATTTGATTAGTTTCAATCAAGACATCAAATGATAAGGATGCTCTTTATTTTAAACTATTTTGATCAAGTTACATAAAATTATGTTTGCATAATCATCCTAAATTATTATTAGACTAATCTCATTGTTTTTATGTAATTTTAGTTTAATGTCAAATAAAACCAACTGTTTGTCCAATTTTGTTTAAAACCTGAAATATTCAAAAAGCCCTAAAATGGCGGCTTTATAAATAAGGTAACGTTTGTGTCCGGACCTATTTATATAGACCTTACTTTTTGTGTATGCACTAAACAGAATTTTCGTTTCGTTTCCTTTCGTTAACAGTTAATAAGGTAAAGGTAAACAATTAGACATATTTAATAATATATTCATTAGTTTATAGAAGTAAATTTTATGAAAAACTTTATTCTTAACACATTTTTGAATATGATATTTAATGTATTTAGATTAATCTTCGTCCTATGTACAGTGTATATGAAATATTTAATAATCATATAAGATTGTAGATACTAACTAAAAGATTGTAAAGATAAAATCAGAGCAAGACTTTAAGATAAGAATCACTTTTTAATATTCATGTAAAAGCTTTTATTTTCAGGTGATGGTGTCCTAAAGCGACTACATGACGGTGCGAGATCATGCCTCCACTAGAATAAGCGTGAAATCCCGTTGGAGCCTATACGTAAGCATTTGTCCTTGAATTAATATTTATATTAATCAAGAATTAAACTCACAAATTCATACCACTACTTTTAAAATAAGGATACAAATTATTTGGAGTTGTAGGTAAGCATTAATTTATTTTCAGATAAGAGCGTTTATTTTCAGGAATTGTGATACTATCAGGATGTGGTGGGATTTTTTATAGCGAGTGATATCGCTATTTCTAGAAAGTGCCACAAAAATCCTATGACGGTACCACAATATGGCGAGTGCATGCCGCCATTAAATAAGCATGCGCCTCTCGGCCTCTCTTGGCACGGCCAGGTGCTACCGAGCGCGTCCACGGGTTGCGGATAGTGGAAAGACCTCAAAGAAGGTTAGCTGCGAAATAAGCGAGTGTGGCATGTATTCGACGAATAAGCAGCCGCGGACAACTGGCATTAATGTTAAAAAATTATATTTTTTTTTCATTAGTAGCTATATACTAACTGTTAATTTCATATTTGGGTGCTACGCTTTGTACTTGTCTTTCTGTAGATTTTAAGATGTATGGATAAGAAATGGTGTAATTTTAAATCACATTAGATTTACAATAATTTTGGAACTAACGTTATAAAATATTGGAAATTTTTCGATGAAAAAAATCATTATTTTATGTCAAAATCAATTTATTTCATAAAACTGCTGCCGATTTATCTATCGAGTTACTAAACTTAATGCACTGTCAAAATGACTAATGATTAATCATGAATATGAAAAATAACGTTCTGATGCAAAAATCTGGATACAGAAGCTATCTATATTCAAAAATCCACATTGGACAAAATTCACAAATAAAAAATTAAATCCGAGTTCGCAAATATTTTCCGAATTTTCATAAAACTGAGTAAATGTATTCGCATACATTTATCCAGTTTTGCATACCGGAGAGAAGCCTCACCAGTATGAGGTATGTAGCGGCCGGATGGCCGAGCGGTCAAGGTGGCAGCCTACCGCTTCGACTGAAATAATTAAATCCTAAATATGCGGCCGGATGGCCGAGCGGTCAAGGTGGCAGCCTACCGCTCTGGGGGACCCGGGTTCGAATCCGAACGGGTCGAAAAACCCCAGGAATTTTTCGGGGGGTGGTCCGTTTGGATATGTCGGGCCCCGTCCCTCACCACCCGGCAGCCCCATTGTTGGCCTGGCCGAACCCATAATGGGCTTGCAAAAAGAGGCCCTCTTAGTGCCCACAGGGCGGAAAGAGTTTAAAAAAAAAAGTAGTAGATGAGGTATGTAAGAAGCGCTTCATCAGCACGAGTAATCTAAAAACTCATCTGAAAAACTGGCATAGTCGCGTGCGGCTGATTTCGAAGGACTATATCTCGCGAAGGGTCACATGTAAAGGTATGGTTCCTTTGACTTTTTGGCTCCTACGGGCATGTTCCACGACTCTGTTAAGGTCCCAACAATGTCATTTACATCTGCAATTGTACCCAGTTTAGAATATTCATATCGCTGTCATTTATCTCGTCTGCAGTTCTTCACCAACCTTGCATTTTTTTGCTTATCTGCAAGAACCAACTCAAGTTTACAAGCCACACAGAAAAGGTCTCTGTAACGCTCCTCCTCAATAAACTTGAACTCTATATTTGAAAGTACAGTTAATATTAGAAGACAAAAAATGTTTTTAAACTTTAATTATATTTACTACAGTATTTACACTACAGAACTACTACAGTAATAATATACAGTATTACTATACTCCGTATATAAAACAAGTAAATAATTTTTTACAATTTATTTGTGAAATATATATTAATCAAAATGATTTTATTATTTATTAATTTTTTATGAAAGTATATAATATNAAAATGTGATTAATTTCTATCGAAATGCTCAGAGGGCGCTTTACGAAGAATCGCGCTTTAATTTGATTTTGTTTTGATCGTGGTTGTTTTTTTTTTAAATTTTTATATTTGTTTTAATAAGTTAAAGAATTTTCTTTCCTTATGACACCTTCAAAATCACAAAGGAAATCAAATAATAGTAAGTATTTATTTTGAACTAAACAGAATCGATAGTGAAACGTGTGAAGTAAAGACGTAAATGGTGAATGGAACTTGGTAAAGAACAAATTTCTGCCATTAAATAGTTAAACGTAATGCTCCAAAAATGGATGACACTTCATCGAATTTAGGTAATAGAAGTTACTTTTAGGTCATTCTGTCTTAATCAAGAGTAACTTCTGTTGAATTTATATTGGTTAAATGAAATTAATTTATTTTAGTAAATTTCACAATAGCTATATGTAATTTGCTATAAATTTTATGGACTTATCAAGTTTTCAATTGGAAAGCTCACTGAGATTTTATTAAACCAATATATATATATATTGGGCTATAGAAGGAGGGTGTATATTGGGTTAATATAGTGCAGTGTTTCTCAATGGGGGCATTTTTCCATGTTGAGGGGGCGATTAGTAACAATTTATGTTTTGGGGGACGAAAAACAATTTTCTGGGCGATATAGTAAAACATTATATTAAGAATAATTAGATATTTTATTCGTTATATCGTATAATAATTAAACAAATAACATGCTAGTCACTAGTCTATTCGATGCAGTACGAATTTGGCATTAGCCTTGGCCCTTGGCATCGGAATTTTGAAGTGAAGGGGGCGATACTATGTAACGGTTTTACTGAGGGGGCGACGATTTGTTAGAGGTTGAGAAACATTGATATAGTGTGCCCCAAAAGTCTCCATACATACGTGGGGGTTTCAATAAGTAACGCCTTTTATTTTTTAAATTTAATTAAGCAAGAGTGTTAATGCATATGGAAAATACAGAATATACAATATGAAATATGTGGATTAGGCTACTTCTTGACATAAGAACCATTTCGGTTCAAGCACTTGTTCCTGCAGTGCCCCTGCTTGAAGATGCCTGCATTGTAGAATGCCATTTCCTGGCCATACAACCATCTGCGAACAGCCAATTTAACCTCCTCGTCGTAATAGAACCTCTCTCTAGCCAGGAATTTCTTCAAAGGACCAAACAGATGTGGTGTTTGTTGTGACAAGTACAAAGTCCTGCGGGCGGAAAAGTACAAAATAAATACTCTTTAGATTGTTTTTTGACACAAAGTTATTTATTTTCACTTCAAACAGGTTCATTTTTCCCTTTTTCTTTTGGGATCCCAATGCTACAAATGGTTTTTTTGTAACACAGGTGTTACAGTCTCATCAATAAAATAGCGAGCTAATTGAGCAACAATTACGCACGGTCCGAAACTTATAACTAATCCTTATACTACTTACAACTAAAGAAGAAAAAAAAAGGAATAGACAGATAAGAATAGTTTAAGATGAAGATGGAAATACCCAGGATTTTCTTGTGTTCATAATCTTGGGTGGGATACTACTATGGAGCTTTACTTGGGATGTTACTTCTCGTCCTTCCTGTGGACCTCTTGTATGGTTCTTTCTGTGGCTCTCTTCGACGTTTCCGTTTAGGAATTTCTTCCTGCAAGTTCTCTGGTTTCACGTAGCCTCCAGTCACCTTATACTCGATCTGGAGCGCTACCTCCTCTTTGCCCTTCTTCTTCTTCTTCGGAATTTGAGCCCAAACTTCTTTTTATCAAAGTCTCATAGTCTCCGGTCATCCTACACACGATCCGGAGCCGTACCTTATCTCGTCCGTTCTCCTCAAGCGCTCGACCCAGACTCCCCTCTCCTCTTGTTTTCTGCCTTAGGGTCCTACTTCACCCTTTATTCTAATCTCATTTCTTGGAATTGGTAATCCCACCCAAGGGAAAAAGGTTGGAAGGGAAAGTTCTGAAACAGTAAGAAACAAAGAAAAAGTTAAAACTAACTAAAATTAATACATATTTCTATACAATTTTATGGCCGACGGCCACACAGGACATTGAGAAATTTTTCCAACAGTGTCTTCAAGCAAATGTGGCAGTTACTTTGAATTATTCGATCAATAGTGGCAACTGTTTGAGGCAAAACTGCTTACTGGATGACCTGATCCATACTTATCAATCACACACTGACAACCATTTTTAACATTTCGTACCATCGATGGACATTTGAATTGTCTGTGCAAACATCTCCATACACTTTCTGTATTTCCACATGAATTTGTTCACATTTCTTGCTCCATGCCCATAGAAAATGAATAATGCTTCTCTACTCTTTTCTTTCCATTTGTCAGAAATGTCTGACAGGCAACACAAGTGTTCCTATTGTGCAATAGTGTTGCCAGAAATTCAATCTTCATTTACTATATTTATGTTTTTGCGTACACATTAAAAATGTTTGTTTAAAAAAGAAAAATGCATTACTTATTGAAGCACCTTCGTACAAAGGTGAAGTATAATTTTATTCACAAAACATTAAAATGTCAGCATTAAGATTTAATCTTAATTAATTAATTTTAATTTTTTAATTTTAATTGTGTTGGGATTGTTGGAACTTGGTAAAGAACAAATTTCTGCCATTAAATAGTTAAACGTAATGCTCCAAAAATGGATGACACTTCATCGAATTTAGGTAATAGAAGTTACTTTTAGGTCATTCTGTCTTAATCAAGAGTAACTTCTGTTGAATTTATATTGGTTAAATGAAATTAATTTATTTTAGTAAATTTCACAATAGCTATATGTAATTTGCTATAAATTTTATGGACTTATCAAGTTTTCAATTGGAAAGCTCACTGAGATTTTATTAAACCAATATATATATATATTGGGCTATAGAAGGAGGGTGTATATTGGGTTAATATAGTGCAGTGTTTCTCAATGGGGGCATTTTTCCATGTTGAGGGGGCGATTAGTAACAATTTATGTTTTGGGGGACGAAAAACAATTTTCTGGGCGATATAGTAAAACATTACATTNTAATTTTAATTGTGTTGGGATTGTCACCTGTGGACTTTTAGACTGTTTTACATAATTTTACAGAGGCATAGCCTCTAAAGAAAGGTCGTCTCTGTGATAAAGAATGGTTGTTCCTGGTGATTGGACGTGGCAATAAGTGAAGATATTTTTAGTATCTGTTACGAAATTTTTAAAATTTTATTAAATTGTAATTTCACCAGCACTTTTTACAAAACATCTGGATTGGTCTTTGTTTTAAATATCCATTTGCATGGAATTCCTTTTCTTCCACCTGGTAACTCTTCAAGGGTCCATGTTTCATTTTCTTTTACGGATTTTATTTCACAATCCATAGCACTTAACCATTTCTCTCGGTTGTGACAATTAATTGCCTCTCTATAAGTACTCGGATCCTCAAAGGCATTTGAGATTGCTGACATGACATAGTCATCAAATCTTCTGGGACGCAGAAACTCTGAATGATCCTGTAGAGTCATTTGTTGTGTTGCCTGTTTGCTCTCAACTTCATCCTGAAAATTCAAATGTTTTTTCTCAACATTCAGATAACTATTGTCGTCTTATAAACTACTAGCAGGTGGGCCCGGTGTTGCTCGGGCAAAAGTAACGATAGCGAAGATTAAGATTATTATGTTGTAGTCAACCTTACCCGTTTTCACAGAATGCAAAAATTGGATCCCCCGTTTCCAGACTAATTAGAGAATTTTTACATGGGTCTAAAAATATCTTCAATTTCCTGCAAAAACGAAAACCAACTGCACTTTCTCTTAAAACGTCGCTTTCTCTTAACAATTCCATTGTTACGTAACACTTCCATTGTTGACACTTCCATTGTTACTTAAAACTTTTATTGTTACTTAAAACTTCCATTGTTACTTAACACTTCCATTGTTACTTAGCACTTCCATTGTTACTTAACACTTCCATTGTTGATGGAAGTGTTAAGCCTTAATCCTGTCCCTCTCCCCCGTGGGGAGGAATTTCGAAAAATCCCTTCTTAGTGTGCGTTCTCCTAACGTACCCTAACTGTGTACCAAATTTCAACTTTCAACTCCTAACCGTTTGGGCTCGTATCCATAATGTATATAGAAGTTTTAATCCTGTCTCTCTCCCCCCGGGGGGAATTTCGAAAAATCCCTTCTTAGTGTGCGTTTTCGTGACGTACCCTAACTGTGTACCAAATTTCAGCTTCCAACTCCTAACCGTTTGGGCTCTGCACTTATTATTATTATTATTATTATTATCATCAACCCATCTCGATTATATTATAGATTAGACTTCATGATTATTCCTTGTTGAGGAATGTTCAAGTTAGTATTTTTAACAATCAAGAATTCTTCTTGAAAAGCAACATGAATGAGCTTGTTTTCTTTGTCCCATATACAATACCCATCATCATTATAATATCCTATCAAAAGCACCTATCTGTGCTTCCTTCTCCCACTTTTTCCTTAGTTGCTTGAGTACATGAGCATAGCAAGTACTCCCAATGATTCTCAAGTGTTTAATATTTGGTTTTTTATTAAACCATAGTTCAATTGGCAATTTACCTTCAATACTTGGACTTGTTCTATTTAGGATATAGGTTGCAGTATTTACTAACTCTGCCCATAGCTTTTGGGTGAAATTTTTATTAGTATACGTCAGGGCTTCTTAAACTTTTTTTTATTCACAACCCCATTTATGATTGTGATTTTTTTCACGACCCAAAAAATATAAAATAAAGATACTGTATATACAAATTTGCAAAAGCAATAATGGTGTACTACCACAGTTCACTCTTGTGTTACAATGGAACAGAGACAACTGAATACACTGAAAAGCAATAACACTACACTAGTTCACACTATAATCAGTGTTGCTGAATCATTGTCTCACTGCACCGGAAGTGACACAAAGCGCAACTCACGAAACCTATGACACAAAGCATGCCATTTTCAAACTCTCACAAATTATTTTCAATATTTTGCATTAAAATCTTGCAACCCCAAGATTTCTCTAAGTGACCCCAAATGGGGTCACGATCCATACTTTAAAAAGCTCTGGTATATATTAAGGACCTTGCTGCCTCAACTATTGTTTTTACGTTCACAGCAGCCATTTTGTTCTGGAATACAGTGATATTCCGAACTTACGCGATAGGTGGGACCGAGCGATAACAGCGTAAGTCGATTTCATGTAAATCGGGGTATAATTTCACAATTTGTGTAAAACCCAAGTCGGATGTATGTAAGCTAATAAATGTTTTCGTTAATCTTATCTCATCTTTCGATTCGTTCACAGTTACAAGAAAT